TATATAAATTATTAGCAACAATGACACTTTAGTTGATTATCAGCCTTTTCTTTATTGTTTAAAAGATAATAAATCCTGTCTTTTTGAGAAAAGAGGCTCTTCTTATAAATAACATGTAACTGATTTACTAGCATTTCTTTATTCATCCTTCTTGTTGTTTCTTTTATTATTATCTGTTGTCAGAAACTATCATTTTTCAATCAGTATGCGAATAATTTGTCAAAATGTCCTTGACCAATGAATTTTACCTTCTTCTTTATCAGAGTAAGAATGAAAGAAGAGGCTAATTGGCCTGATGTAATCAAGATAGTGTAGACACAGTATACAATCTACTGATCATCAGCATACTATTTTTCACTTATGAGAGATATATTAAAAAGTGGCTAGTTACACCATTCTGAGAACTATATGTAGCCATCGATGAACTGACATCATTGTGTTAAACGGACTCTGATAATGAAAGTATACAGAGTAATGTTTACAGGTTTGCAATAGAAAAGATGAAAGTTCCTGGGAAAACTAGAAAGGTAACAGACAGACACTAATCCATCTGTGATGTTTGATAACAATAGTAACACAGCATAATGTCGATTCTAACTATAAAAGTCTACAAGAAATAGAATAATATTATAGCCAATAAGATCATGTATTCTAACAAACTCTACAACATACATGCAAAGATCATAGGACATAATGCTGTAGTAAACCTGTTCTCAAGGTTGGAGGCTTTTTTTATGTCCTTGCATGTCAAATGAATTTCGGCCCGGATATACATTGTTTGTCGTACTTTATGCTGTTAAAGTGGGCCTGGACATAATCTATGTACTTTAGTCATGCACTTTGTTCCTATAAGGCTTAACCTTTTTAAAACTGCTAATAAACTGTTATTGTTTTATATGTTAATATATTTTTGATGCTGGTATGTTGTGGATGATTTAATAACTGTAAATAAAGCTGTAATAAAGAGAGAAAGAAAGAGAGCAATTATTGCCAAGACTCGGTTGAACCACCAAATTTGTTAAAGACGGAGTGCTAAATAGGGTAAGTAACAGGGTCTAAAAAGTGCATAAAACAGCGCCACAGTTTAATAAACTATAAATAGTGCCGTATTCTTTCTTTCCTTTCTATAAAATATTCAAGGATATGCCATTTGTAACACCCCTCAAAGAAGCATTTGCAATTGCTCCTATCTCTGATAGAGAAGATGTCTTGAAAAGGTACTCGGGCAGTGTCCATCCTGACGAAGTACACTACTTCCAGGGACTGGTTATACTTCAAAAAATTCATGATGAAGCTATGAAGCAAAAGGACCCTTTGGCCATAAGAAGTCCAACAGATGTCGAAAAAACCTTGATGGACCAAATGACTGAAAAATTGAAAAAATTTCCCTTCAACAGTACACGTTATAATGAGCTCAATACGCGCTTTCGCTTGTTAACCTATCCTATCAATGTACTTGAATCAACCGAGTTCATCAAAATGGAACTTGGCCTCGAGTTGGACCTGACAACAAAGCAACCTGAGCAATCTCAACAGCAAGGTCATCAGACGGAAGAACCTGTCACTCGCAAGCTACCCTCCAAATTGGATCCTAGCTTGATCAATACTGAAAATCTATTAAAGGCTGAATTATCAAAGCATGAAAACATGCAGATCAAGTCACAGGCCATTCCAGTTGTTGTATCATTGATGGAGAAGGAAAATAATTTGACAAAGGAACAAAAGGCGCGTCTGTTTGATATGATCCTGAGATACCCTACGGAGGATTATCCTTCTTTTATGAACGTACTTATCGATTTTTGGAGTGACAAGCAATCTGAGTGGCAACCAATCGCAATGCGGTATGACAATTTTACCCTGAAACAACTGAACGAAATAGCTGAAAGAATGCCTGACATTCTTTGGGAAAAAAAATATGTTCAAGCGTACCTTAAAAGACTAGCACCATATGCTTACTATCACCGTTCTGCCTCTGATTGGGACGATGATGAGGATATTTTACGAAACTACCTTGATCAAGCAGCAGAATTTGTCAACAAATTACCAAACTTATTCTTCAAATTAAAAAGCGCAGTATTGTTCCACAGACTCCGAATTGATGTTGTGAGACAGACATGCGATCAAGATAAACTAGTAGAGTAAGTACCCTCCATGTATTGACAAACATAGTCTCACTGTCATCGTAGGTATCTAGATGTTCGCAACATGAAGCTTGAGGAAACAAGATCCCCTATTCCTTCTCGTTTCCAAAAAAGCTCACCACAACAAACAAGCTTTGATGTGGCATTACCCCTCTTTGAGTATGTTGAAATCTCTACGGAAGACCATTACAACCTTTTGGAGGCATACTTTACCGTGCTTGTAGCTCAAAACAAGCTTACCTATGCGACTGAGCTCTACGCTTCTCATGATGACTATGATCGCATTTCTAAAATGCTTGCAAAAATTAAGCTGACGGTAATACCAGACAGCCATGACTATACCGAAGAATGTATCAAAATCCTTGGTGCATATGAATACGACGCCCTTACACAAAAGACTCTCTTGAGTTTCAGCCCTTCCACTTGTTTCCGTTCTGTCAAGAGACGGCCACAAGATTCAATTGTCATGCATGTCAATGCGAAGAACATTCCCCGTTTATCCATTCGTGTATTCCAGATTGACACGGAGAACTATTGGAGGTCGCACGTGAAGACTGACAATGAAGCCTTTTTATTTGACAAGATTAATCTTGACGGTCTGTGTCCTAATTGGGAAAAAGACATTGATATTGATCAAAAGTCCTCTCTCTTGATAACACAGCATGAAGTTATTTTTGGTAACGATGGCCTTGCTCCTGAAATATTCAATGGAAGAGGACTTTGGGTTATTGAATTTGTAGGCGGAGATTGTCAGTGCCGCGCTATTGTACAAAAGGTTAAAGACACGCATCTGCTTTACGCGTTTTGTTTATTAATATCAGATAATAGGGATATCTGAAGCATATAAGTCAAGATATTGTAGGAGGTCATCTCATCAAGGTTATGGATGAAGATGGAAACTTTATCAACAAAGCAAAAATTTGGTTCAACAATCAATTTTATGAGGTAAAACAAGGAAGACAGGATGAATGTGTCGCTCATCTATACCTTCTTCATAGGCTGATGAATCGGACAACATTTTGATCCCTTATTTGACCATGAATAAATCTCCAATAGTTGGTCAAATGACACTTATATCTACGGAAGATGGCTTTTCCGAACCTGCAGAGTTTTCTCAGGCTGTCGAGACGTACAACCTCAAAGCTACATTCTATATCAATCGTGAAATGGTCAGCTTTAACAAAAAAGCAACGGTAAGCAACTACTAATGACATACATAGCCAATACTAATAATGATTGTATCGTAAAGATTGCTGTGATTCCAAAACTTACAATGAATGACCAGCCTTATTCAGCTTTTGAAAGCGCGTCGTTAAATATAGAATGCTGGAATGCAAATGATATCAAGACAACAACGTCCAAAGTGGTCACATCTCTTGATAAGCCCAGCTTATTTGATTTTACCGTGCCTGAGCAATGTAAGTTATATCACTCATTAATATATTGTCTAACATAGTTATTATATAGTCCAAAGAATACAAGCAACTTTGGAAGTCAAAGTAAAAGCTTTGGATGACACAGTTACAACGGTCTCGGAGACTTATGAGCAATACTTTAGCTACAATGAAGCTTTACCCATCAACATTCTTCTCAGAAAAACCGTTGATGATCAATACTGCATTTATGTTCTTGGAGCAAATGGCGAGCCAAAGCACGGAAAAGAAATCTATCTGGAGTTTAAGCACAAGTTTGTAGCCATGACAGTCTCCGTTTCTCTTCAAGCTGATGAAGAAGGAAAGATCTTACTTGGTGATCTCTCTGATATTGAATCCGTGAAATGTGGAGAGTCCATATGGCATGTGTTATCGAAGGACTTTATATACGCTCTTCCTGAATCCATCTGCGTTGAAGCAAATAAGCCTTTTAAAATAGTCGGTGAGGATGTGTCCATCTACAGAGTTGGCTACCACAAGTAAAGTATTCCCAAAGCAATTACTACTATACAAAAACTGACGCTTTTAATTTATATATAGCTGCTTATTGGAAAGCTATGACAAGTTAAAGAAAGAAAATGGCTATGTCACCATCTCAGGACTTGCCGAAGGCGAATACAAGATCTATACTGACTGCTCCAAGGAAAGAAGCATCAGCTGTTCTGTGGCTCAAAGCGTAAGCAAACCAAATGACAGGCTTTGGTCAAATTGGGTTGTAGGAAAAAGATCAAGCATACGTGAGAACGGCATTGCCTTGCAACGTCCACTTTTGGTATCTTCAGTTACTCATGATACTGATAATATATCCCTTCAGCTTGAAAACTGGAGCTCAAATACCTTTGCTATCGTTACTACAAACGCATTTGTACCTCAACTTAGTTATGGTTTACAGGACGCAGATTTGGACATTAAAAATTCAAAACCTTTGATTCAGCACGACAGGTCTTTGAAAACAAGGTCAATATTCTTGCAAGGTATGCAAATTGGAGAAGAGTATCAGTATATCTTGAACAGAAAGAAGCTTAAGAAATGGGTTGGCAGCAACTTGACTCATCCTTCATTACTGATCAATCCCAAGGTAATAGCACTAGTTCTAATATGCAATCATTCGTGCCCTTATGCTTTATTACCATAGGAACACTCCTCGACTACATCTTCTTCCCGAGAGTTACAACAGGCAAGAAAACAGTTTACGGAATGCCAGTTTCAAATGGCTTCAGAAAATATTGCGGAAAGAGATTGTGTCAGAGCTATGTACAGAGGTTGCTCTGATAGCTTTACCCCAGAAAATAAGAATCCATTGGCATTTTTGGATAATGTATCACCCTTGCTCTTTGTACCTGTAGACCCTAGTTCTGGCACCATTCGTATAAAGCGTGACCTAGTTAGTTGCGGGGGCGCTACCATTGAATATGCTATCATCTCTGGTGATCAAGCTGTTTATAAGCAAGTCAAGTTACCTCAAGATGTCGATCTCAAGTTCAGGGACATTCGTCAAAATGACAGTCTTTGCCTTGTACAATCCAAAACCTTTTCTACGCTTGCACCTGCAGAATCTATTACTTTGGACACGCGAGACTATGTGACCGTGGCCTCAGTAGATGATATATTTACTATCATCAAATCCATTTCATCCGAAGGCGATTTATTTTGTCAAACGTTTGGGTTCTTAAACAAGTGGCCAACGTATAGCTTTAAAGAAAAGTCAAAGTTTTATTCAGACCATGTTTGTCATGAACTCAACGTTTGGTTGAAACGAAAAGACATAGGTTTCTTTAACAAGGTCGTGAGGCCCTCTATCAAGGTAAATACAGAAAAAATGACTTTCACGCTTTTCTCTATCTAACTTTTTATCTAATCGATAGAGCAAAGTTGAGAAATCATTCATTGACTTGTATCTACTTGAACATGACCTCTCAATGTATAGTCAAAACATGTATCTGTTTTCCAAGTTGAATACAGCCGAAAAAGCGCTGCTTGCTACCACACAATCCCAAGAATTTTTGCAATCTGTTATCAAGATATTTAAAGACAGCATAGATGAACGTCAACAAGTCGATAGGGCAGACAAGATTTACGAGAAAATTCTTGCGGCTGCCCAGACCGACGAAAACTTTGATCCAATGGATGAAGATGATGAAGACGATGATATAGGCTATGCTGATATGTCTTATGCAGCTGACCCTTACGTAAACGCTATCGTCTCCCCTTGTTACTCTGCTTCTGCTCCAGTAGCCTTTGGAAGCGCTGCATCGTCTTCTGCTAGAAGTGCTATGAGACAAGCATTATCGATAAAGCAACATAGGGAGGAAGTAATTGCAGAACAGACCTCAAGTAACGGTCCTGTTGACGAAGGCCTTGATCCAGAGCTAGCAAAGATGAGAGAGGAATTACGTATGAAATCCAAAGAGTTACAAGCACAAAAGAAAGTGAAGTATGAGTTTGTGAAGCCGACTACGGAATGGATAGAAGCTGGATATTATGAAGCTAATGCTCCGCTCAATGTGAAGCAATTCTGGATCGATTATCTTGAAAGTAAAGGCTCCTTTTTATCCACCAACTTTGTATACTGTCTTGATCATACAACAGAGATGCTTTGGGTACTGGCTCTGATGGACTTGCCTTTTAACAGCCAACGTGCAGAATTGTTAAGCCAAACTGGAAAAGAAGTTACGATACAAGCAGAGAACACGTTCGGTCTGATGGTTCTTTATCGACAATTAAAAGAAGTAGCTGATGAAACGCAGCTAGACTCGCTCGTGATTCATCAAGAATTCTTTGTATACGAGCACTCTGTAAGTCCTGACTCAGATGAATGCATCAAGGTTGATCCCCATAAGATGTCGCTAGAACCGCAAACAGAATACGGGTGTCACTTGATAATAAGCAACATTTCATCTGCTCCTGTACAATGTGAAGTTAGTTATCAAGCTCCTACTGGTTCTGTCCCTGTCCAGTTTATGGGATACCGCTGTTCCAAGTCTGTCTACATCATGCCTTATAGTACCTGGCGTGCAGTGGTCGGAACCTTTTACTTCCCTGCTGCAGGAAAGTTTGCGACGGCACCAATAACAGCTTTAGTAAAAAGACAAGCACAGTCTTTTGTGACAAAGACAACGACTGCTGAATTGAATGTAATTAACAGGAATGTAAACTCTAACGATAACACCTCTGCTGCAAATACATTGTTTTGGCCAACTACTGCCTTCCATGGCACCAATGCCGAGGTTCTCTCTTTCCTATCAAGCCATAAGCGATTGGAAAAGCTTGATCTCAGTTTGATCAACTGGAGAATGACGGATGCAAACTTTGCAAGACAGGTATTTGATATTCTATCTCGTACCCGTTATTTTTACTCTAGGGATCTTTGGAAGTACGCTCTCTATCATCGCTTTACGGATGCTATCAAGGATTTGTTGCTATTCCAGTATGATGAGCTGCTACGCAAGTCTGGTCAAATATTTGAATGTCCTCTGGTATCAGTTAACGATCCGTATGCTACCATATATGATTACTTCCCCCTCGTCAATGCGCGTGCACATCCTCTTCAGCCATCAAAGCATGAAGTCTTGAACCAAGAATTTTACCAAAAGTACAACAAGTTCTTAGATTACTTGTGTGAACGAAGCTCATCACCTTCAACGACCGACTTAATTATTTTAACCCACTACCTGATCCTTCAGAATCGCATAGGCGATGCTCATACAGTCTTTTCACGAATTGATCTTGAACAAGCAGAAAAGCATCACGCGATACAGGTGGATTATTTGAACGCTTATTTGAAAACTCGTATTCCGATCACAGACAACCATTCCCTCATCGAGCTGGATCTTGCTTCTATCAAAGAGATACTCGAGAAATACAGAGATTTTGGCATTGAAAGATGGCGCATTATGTTTGATGAATTACGAGAATTTGTTCGCGAAATTGAACAGGGTACATCCACCCAGAGCTCTTCCCTTACAGCCTCTGTCCAATCCCATCCTATTCTTGAATTTACCATTGACTCAAGCAGTAATGAACTTGTTATTCAGCATGCAAACATTAAATCGGCAAATATACGCTATTATGAAATGAATATTGAAGTGATGTTCTCTTCAAATCCTTTTATGAACGACGCGGTAGAGCATGACAGCTTCAAGTGGGTCAAGCCTTTGCTTACGGAAACGATTGAATTGAATGGCCAGTCGACAGAGTGTCAAGAAGGTAATGATGATGATGGAGACTTTGATATGATCGGTGCCGGACAAATCCAAGCAATTCAGACTTCAAGAGTGTCTTTGAAGAGTGGGAGCAAGAATGTGCTGATTGAAGTGACAGCAGATTCTTTCACAGACAATGCAGTGACAACAACTAACCGTATTCAAAGATCCAGTGCTTACTATGCAAATAGCCTTAATGTTCATGTTGCAGAATCGTTTGGTATTGTCAGAGTGATGTGCAATAAGACAAAGCGACCTTTAGCTGGCGCTTATGTAAAGGTGTATGCTCGTTTGCGGGAATTCAAGCATGCAAAGTTCTGGAAGGATGGTTATACTGGCTTAAATGGAGTCTTTGATTATATCAGCGTAACAGAAGGCAACGCCCTGGTTGGTAATTATGAAAAGGATCTAAAGGCACTATTCGAGAACAAGATTGACAAATTAAGTATCTTGATCATGTCTGATGAAGGTGCTGTCGTCAAAGAGGTTTACCCTCCATTAACATAAGATATTCTTAACAAATACAATATGAATAAACCAAAACATACATTTGGCTCAAAGCCTTAAATATAAATCATTTGCCGAAGGGGCGTATGTTGTTATACCAGGGGCTTTGCTTTTTTCAGTACGGTTGTGAACCTGAATAAGGCAAATGGGGTCATATGAGAAAGGATGATTCTAGATATCTCGATCCTTTATTGAACCACATTCTGTAACTATCTCTGCTTTTGTCTTTAGAGATGAAAAGTGAATGCTTTCTATGAAATTTGCAATAAATATTACTTTGAGTCCAATAAACTTTGTACAGAAATAATCCAATAGAGGAAAGTAACAGTCTAGGCAACAATCTGGATGGAGATGAAGAATGAGTTGTTTCACTGAAGGACATGGCTGAGCGTTCTGAGAAGGTTGCTTATCGTTTATTGTACACGCCTGTGTCCATTCTTCACAAGGTACGGATTTGGTCCAATCTATGGTCATGTGTGTCAAATGGTCGGTGTACCTGAATAACAATTCAAAATCTTCAATTGTTGTAAATCCTTTCTGAGCGAGCACTGTAACCTGTCGCAGATTCTTATATGTCGCAAATCTTTTGACATCCTGAGCCACAACACACCTATCATCTGGACCAGCAAGATATATAGATTGTAAACTGTCTCTAACAAGGTCCGCGGATTGGTAGTATAGCTCCATGTCCCTGGTGAGAATCGTTGGCTCTGGAATTTCACGTATTTTGTGCCACATATGGCCCTCGCGCAGTACATGTTGAAATATTAACCACCATTCAATAGGTAAATCGCTGCCATAACACACGAGGATTTCAACGTTTGGACAATAATTGGTCAGTATTTTTAGGTTTCTATAAGTTCCCGAGGTTATGGTTCCTGCGCATGAAATCTCTATTTCTTTCACGTATTGCCCCAAACGACGTGGAAAGTATGTTTCGAGATCATATCGCTTATTGAAGCCAGTTAATGTAACATTCCTATACAGATAAGGCGACCAGAAAGAATACCAAGCTTTGCTTACAAGACAAAATTGATACATATCGCATCGATCTAGGTAAGAAATGATATGATCATAGAGTTCTTGTGGAAGGTCAAGACGTATTTGAACATTGAATCCCATAGAAGAAGAAGAAAGAAAAAAAAAGACGAAATAACGTTAAATATATAATACAAAGAGATAAAAAAATGAAATTGTGTAATAGGATCGTAGTTGTATGATTTTCCTACATGATAAATCGAGAATGGCTGTGTAATAATAAAACTCTCGGCCCAAAACGAAGGGCGTTATTTACGTTTTAAGAACAAAAAAGGGTCATTATAAATCAAAGAAGAATAGGCTGTTTACTATTTATTGTTTAAACGGTACAAGAGCCATCCTGTACACCTTGTATAAAAAAAAAGGCAAAACATGATTTGCTGGCATTGAGCTTATTCGAGATCCAACCTTGTCTTTTATATATAAATAAAAGAACTGTGTAACTCAGAAGATTTGCTTTACTCAAATTTTGCGGACCATCATTATTGTCTTCACAAACATCTAGTTCGTCATTAACGCCGAAAACTGGAGCAAGCTTTAACTGCAAGAACAGCTCCTAACAATCACAATCTTCGCAAAGAAAGAGTTCTAGAATGGAAAGCATATAAAAGCATGGGTTGAGAAAATAACTGTGTTTTTACCAATGATGCAGGCTTCAATGTGCATATTCGTCGAAACTTTGGTCGATCAAAACAAGGAAGAAGTTCAAAGACACCACTTTCTTCGTGCATAGGTATCATGATGACTATAATTGGTACTATTTGCGGAAAAGGGGTAATTGATTTAACCCTGCGTAAATCAAAGGCTGCTCAGAAAGAAGCTGCTGGTTCTAAAAAGAGAAAGAGGGAAGACGGTGAAGAGGAAAATGTCGATGTAAATGCTAGAGTAGGTACGCGTAATGGTCATTCCCTTGAGTAATGTATGAAGATATTGAATCAAAATAGGATGAAGGATCGTTACCTGGTTATAGGTAACCGCTGCTATTTTATAGTGGATAAAGTTCAAAACTTGACTTAAAATCGCTGCTGTAAAACTACATGCTTACCTTCCTTATTCATGCTTCGTAAACCTTATTGAACTGTTCTGTTCAACAGTCAAAAGAGGTATAAGAAGAGATTTTTGACGTTATTATCATATAACGCGTCATGTTCAATTCTCATTAATTCATGTAATAACTCTGTTTGCATATACAATGAAGGTGTAATAATGAACTCTCTTTCTTTATCTATTTCTTCATTGTTGTTGTGATTGTATCACGAATGTGCACGAGAAAGTACACCAAACATATATTGGCCCCAATAAGAAAAAGAAAATCAAGACGATTCCTACATTATTGAATCATCATCACACTCCATTAACCTGACAGGCCCTACTTCATCCAAATCCACAGCCTCTACCTCATTAAAGGCAATAGAGATGGTTACTTTAAGCGAAACCAAGGACCTTATTGTTCCTAACATCGCGCTTTGCGACAACATTACCATCAACGCTCAAACTAATCTGTGATATTTGGCCCATTTAAAACTTTGCGTATTTGACTTGCTTGGAACTTCTCTTTTGACATTTGAAACTCACCTATGGTGTCTTCTTTCTCATGTTTTACTGAAAGGAAAGTACGCCTAACGTTCAGATTTCGATAGACATTTTACTTGTGATATAAACGGTATTCGCCAAAGCTTGTACGATACTCCTAATATTATCATTGTTATATACAATATGTGAATCAATAACAAAACTCATTACTGTAATTAAACTCTTGGAGTTAATAAAGGATAAAATGAATTTAATTGTCACAAGGTTGCTATTGTGTTTCAAGTCAATAACAGAAGCACTTTCAATGAACACACAAACCAAATGATTACGAGAGTCAACCAGTTGGTGAGACAAAGGCAGAAAATGGGATACATACCCCCCTCCTTGGTATCGTAGATAGTTTTAAATTCGAAGCTTATACGCTTATGTAAATGATAGCATAGAAATATATCACTTTATTATTATATATGGGAAATAATGCGTAGCTCAGGGAGCATCTATCACATTGGAGATCAAAATGGAGCCAAACTATGACTGTGCTAGGCACAATATCACCTTTTTCCAAAAATATTACAACTAACCTTCGAAATCGGCTCAAGTTATTTTATATCCTGATTGTATCCTAATAAGTAAATTGTTTAATTTATACTTCTTCTTTGAGAATCGCTTGGTCACCAAACTAAAGCATGTGTAATAAATGAGCTGTTTTCTTCACAACTTTAAAAAAATCAGCCTTCTTTTAAAAAAGAAAGACCTCTTTCCAAGGAATTTCATCACAGTTATGCTATAATGACACAGCATATGTCAAATCAAAGCTCTCGAATCCAGGGTATAATCAAATTATACATATCCATAATATCGTCTTTCCTTGTTCAAGTTAGCATTACTGTCAATCTATAAAGGGAAATAACAATACTTTCTGGGATAATAAGAATGTGGAAGCTTTAAGATGGCCCGGGCCCTTGATGAGTTTGTTATGAGATTTTATTACTGCGCAAGAATGCTGTCAGTTGTAATATAAATAGAAGATCATAATAGAAAATTTCCTATTGTGATATTCTCCTATACAGCATACTTGTTCTATTGATACACCTTACTGCCATTACAAATTGAGAGTCAATACTTTGTATGTGCCTAATACGGCCGAACATTGCCTCTCTCAGAATACGTTAAAGTAACATTGTGATTTGACTTCACATGCTGTACTTCGCCTCAAGTTAGCATTTCCATTTTAAGAAATAACTGACACGTTTAATATGAATCATTATAATACTCCATACAGTAAAGCATACATACTACTTTTCTCTATCGCATCTACTGAGAATATCTTATAGTAATAATACACTAGCTACTAGTATAACATTGATAAATAATCACACTGACCACATTAAATCATGCTGACAACATTCAACCTTCCCTATAAAACTCACACGCGTCTTAATTTAATAATATTCAGCTCTTCTTCTTATAATGTAATTCACAAGTTATCGACTTACTGATAATTTCAAATAATAACTAGCTGAATAAAGCCTACGCCTTGCGCCGAGCCTCTGCGCCACGGACAGACGTGCTTGCGGACCTCTTCACGTCTTTTTTCTTGCAGTCGGGACTAAACGTGAGTCTCAGAGATCTGCAAATACACTATTGAATCAAACTTGAATAGTGCGAAAAGGCAGTGCAGATATGATCGTAGTGCTCTAATGAACATCTCTAATAGCAAAAAAGTAATACTGAGCTTTCCGTCTGTAAGACACAGCTCCTGCGACGTCGAATTCGCCCGCTTGTCTCAAAATACCGCTCTGAGCTTGCCCCAAATCTTTGCAGTATATAACTCAGCACTCTCGACCCACGATCGACTAGAGATGCGCAAGATGGAAGATGAAGAGACAGATTTTGTGACTCTCAAGGATTTTCCCTTTGCGCACGATTTAATTCGCGATGCTTTGGAACAGCCCTTGGAATGCCTACCGCGTTGATTATGAAGCCACAAATGCGACATGGGTTCTATACAAGATCATCAACTTTGTTAGATGCTTCGCTTTATTTTGACTAATTTTGCCAATATCTGCTCAAGCACAAGAACAGCTCCAAGATCTGATATCAGTGAGCGCACTTTTCTAATTGATCGCATTGTACCTATCTTCAAACCTCTTGGAAAGCAAACAGATCTTCTGACATTTAACTGGGGCGAGATTCAGCCCAAACAACAGTTTCCTATCATGACAGCATATAGGTCAAACCCAGTGCAGTCACGATTCGTTGGCGGGGCTTGGATATTATGACAAAGACAATGAAAAGCTTGTAACAGAAGTGTCTGGAAGCGCCAACATGAACGATGATCAATATGCAGACGATGACACCTTAAAAATTGTACACAGCCTCATATGCATTCTCAAGACAGATGCACGAGTTTATTCAAAATTTAATATTACGACATTCAAAAAGCTCTAGTCTTTGGGTGTACAAACAGTACAAACAACGGTTATCTTGTCGGAAATGTATGTTGGTAACAACCTAAAGTTTGTTTACAAAGAATATCATAAGGCAGTTATTCTCAGGAACCATGGACAGAGGTATAAATGGCTCGTTGTGGTCGAGATGTTCGCATACCTGAATGTCAACCTTGAAGAATAGAAGTCGGTGTTAAATTTGTTGCAAGAAGAAGACGGCAGGCCACAAGTTTGCAATACTGGTAAATTCAGAAATGTTTTGCTTTTGAATATGAATACAAGCTCATATTGAATAGTGGCAATGTTGTCGAAGCAAAGACTAAGGATTTGGCTACAGGCTTTCTAGCCATGCTTTATTTTCAGTAATATTATAAAATAAAAAGCGTTTCCTATTGTTCTCTTTACATCTTTCTAACAGTGCATTCGTTGTAGTTTTAGAGAACTGGTAGCAAGGACGGACTTCGAAGGAGCTTTCTATACCATGGGGGGCCCACCACAGCCTTAATATTCGTTTCGGTAATATAGCCATTGTGGGTCGTGCCTACCACAATTGCCGCTGCCTCACTGAATATCGTAGATATATTTTTAAGCCTATATGAGACGGACAGCGTTTGCAAAAAGAAAAATTCTCTGTACGTTTTATTATACTTGCCATCCAATCTACTCCAAATCATTTACACTACTGCCCAATGCTCAAGCAAGAGCATAGATACCGTATGTAAGCCTATGAAGACGATCACTCCACAGCTCCCTTTGTATCTTTGTAAATGTCTTGATCTCTCATTCCATTAGACTGTGGCTCGTGATGAGTAAAAATTACAGATGCTACACATGACTCTATTATTCAATAATAGCATACAAATTAACATTCGAGTATTGCAGCATTATAGTGTTTCTTGTTGTTTATCCAGCACTCTGGTGCATTATATTGTTGGTCATGAAGTAATAGAAGAGATGCTGTATATGCTACATAGTAAGAAGGAAAGAAGTGCACAAAACCTGGGTTACCTTCAACATTATATTTGCGATAGTTTGGCTGAATGAATCGACAATGAGTTGAAAATTTAATAAAGAGGTGTATTTCGAAGTAATCTCATTCGATTTACTGGTACAAAGTATGTCCAAATACCAAAGTATTCACCCATACTCGCTCATACTCACCTATATTCTCCCATCCGAGCCTTTTTCAACGACAAGTGGTATTCTTCACAAACCGATAGTGCGCCGTTAGGATACTTTGTGTCTCACAAATCTCTAAAGCAGTAGTTCCATCAGTCGCTCTACGACAAATCAACAAATTCTTGCCAATGTATTTTAAAATATCTTTCTAATGCTCTTCACTGAGAATACACAGACGCTGTAGTATTGTGATCTGGCTTCACGTGCTGTCCTTCGCCTCAAATTAGCATGTCCATTTTAGGAAATAACTACCATAAAAAGCTTTTACTGACTACGCACCTTCCTAAAGATTGGTTTATGCATAGAAGCAATGGCAAGACTAACACAAAAGGCGAATTAGAAAACACATGGGTACCGAATCTTTGCTTTAACAAGAGTAAAGTCATTTTTTAAGTATACTCTTTAAGCAGGAAATTCTGTCATTTCTTTAGATGTATACCTGTTGTTTCTCAGTGTACGTAAAAGAATAAGAGCAGTACACTCATAATATGTTGTTTCACTATGAGATAGTATCGGCTTGTAATTCAAGTTTCTGAGAGTTTAGATGAGTCAAACTAATCCAATTTTTCTTCTGGTCACCAAATAGGCAAATGCTTTACTGCTCCTATTCGGCGGTCATATCCGAAATACTGTTAAAATGAGATTTGGCAACAAGTACTTTAGTGATTGATATATGAGCATATAAAGTGAAGAGAAAGCATACATACTAAGCTTTAGAAAGCCGATGATTCCTTTTTTTTTTTTTTACTGCTCTCTGAGAATAATCATTTATGGTATTTGCTAAAACAACCGGAGCTTTGCGCCGTTCACGCAGATCGAGTAGAATATATATTCGAAATTACTCTCTTTTGTGCTTTTAATGCCTAAATTTTCAGTCATTTAAACCATGGATGCAATCAAGAGCTTTTCAAAAAGAAAACCGTTTCTATTAAATATTCGATCCTCAAAGCTATATGTTTTAGCTACAGTAGCACTATCCCTTTTCACAGACGTACGATATATTATTATTATTGTATGTATTATTCTAATTATCCACTATAGATGGTGACAGAAAGTATCATAATTCCTATAGGTACAATAACATGTAAGCAATTATTATGTAGCTAACGCTTGCTTCATAGTGCCTTTCATAATCGATGCAATAGAACGTGGCGTAGATATGAATTCAAGTCATTTTGATGTCTATAATTCTCAGCTGTCAAATCCTGAGAGCGTTTCAAAAGATTCGGGCACTCTCCTTGCTTTATTTTCTGTTGGCATCATTGTTGGATCACTTGCGTTTGGATACCTGGGTAAAAATCATTTATCGAATGCAACAACACAGTTCTTATATAATATACCAGGTGATCGTATAAAGCATCGTCAGATATTGATGGTGACGGGATTATTTGGACTTTTGGGATCTACATTACTCTTAATGTTTGCTCAAAGATTCTGGGAGCTATTACTAGCTAGGTTACTACAGGGGATATCAAGTGCATGTGTATGGACATTAGGTATGTGTCTAATGGCAGATCGATTTCCTATAGAAGAGTTAGGGACTCAGGTAACTATAGATTTATTGTATTTCCAAATCTTTTACTAAAGGTTCAATTTGATAGATGGGTAGAGTAATGGTGTTTCATTCAACAGGGCTGTTAGCTGGACCGCCTATTGGTGGTAAGTTTTGAAAAATACTTTGAGATTTATAATACTAAAAATTTTTATAGGAGGTACCTATATAATATCATTCAGTACACTGATCATTAGAACTCACCTTGTGGAATTATAGCCCTTTTTGAAGCTAAAGGCTACAGAGCACCCTTTATCTTTTGTATTGGAATTGCAACTGCAGATCTCGTGATGCGGCTATTTTTGATTGAGCCCAAGAGATGTCCTTCTGGATCGTTTAAAACAGAGGAAAAGCAAGCTGATGATCATGCTACTTCAGCCAATGATACGATAGTATCGGATGTCAGTGACGACCAGTGTAAAGCACCAAGTAAAAACTCGGTTACGTACTGGATACTTTTGAAGCAGCCCCGCTTACTGAATGGTCTACTTATGATATTTACCTATAGTTTCGTCCTTGGTGCTTTAGAGGTTTGAGAAATTTGCTGTCAAGGCGTCTTGTAAACTCATGTTTTTTGTAGGCTACAATCAGTGTAAGAATGGTAACAGAATGGGGGATGAGCTCCAAAGAGATTGGATTACTGTTTTTGGCAGAGATATTTCCTACATTCATTTCAGAGCCTCTTTCAGGTATTATAACTGATAAATACGGCCCCAAAGTGATCGTATATCCTTTCTGGCTATTATGTGCGGCTTCTACTATGCTATTGGGTGTACCAAACAAAAATACTAGAGGAGGTATTGCTCCTCTGATAGTGGTGCTTGCTATTTCTGCATTTTCCAGCTCTGCATGTTTAACCCCTGTTGTGCCTGAAATTGCCCATGTTGTTCGATCACAAAATGAAGACGACAGTGATGATGGTATGGGTAGAAGTTATGGTATGTTTAATATTGCATTTGCACTAGGTGGCGTGGTCGGCCCTCTTCTTGGTGGCTATATTTACAGCGCTATCGGCTTCTTTTGGCTGTTTATTATTATGGGTGGTATATATTTGATATCTGCTCCTTTCGTGTTTTATTTTATTGGAGAGCGTGGAGAATTCATTAAACGATCTGATAAAAAAACAGAAGCATTGCCCGAAGAAAACAAAAATGATAGAGTGAATTGTTAGTTTATGCAAAGTTTATTGTAATATTTAATAAAACGTATACTGTAATTCAATAGCCTGTTATACGTCTGGCTTATAGAGTAGCATACAGATTTATGGATCTTTGCTGTTTGCCTTGTGTCTCGCTTAATCGCTTTATGAGCTGTATTTATAAATGACGCAGTAAAAATAGCAATTATGCATTCGAATGGTTATTAATCGGCAAATGGTGTATATAAAGATTGACCTAAATATATTTCTTCTTTTCTTCAATTAGAGAAGTTATACCTTTATAAAAGGTTAACGTGATGAGAAAAAGTCCTATATTTGTCAAATTTAGGTCATCAAGATTATATGTACTAGCAACAGCGTGTATATCGGTTTTTACAGATGTAAGTGACATGGGTATGGTATAGAGCTCTATAAAAACATACAGCCTAATATAAATGTAGATGGTAACATATAGTATCATCATTCCTATCGGTATAACTATATGCTGCCTCATGCAAGTTGTAATACATTACTAATGACTTTGTCTCTTATAGTGCCATTTGTAATCGATGCTATTGACCGTGGAGTATCGCCTGAGGAAACTATAACTGATTCATACTATAGCTCAAGCTACAGTTACTTTAGCAGTGCTGCAAAGAAAACAGGATTTCTTCTCGCTGCATATGCTGTTGGAATGATATTTGGATCACTTATTATTGGATACCTGGGCAAGTAGACAATTGAAATGTATTTTAGCTGCCCATTAATGTAAATAATAGCTGATGTCCTAAAACAGAAGCGAATTTTGATGCTGGGTGGTTTTGTGTGTCTGCTGCTGTCTACATTGTTATTTATGCAAAGTAGAAATATCTGGCTACTTTTATTTTCTCGTTTAATGCAAGGAATCAGCAATGCGTGTGTGTGGACGTTGGGAGGCTCGCTTGTAGTAGATCGATTCCCTATAGAGGAATTAGGAAAACAGGTATGTCTTTAATACACTCTGCCATCTTACTTACAATACATCACACTAGATGGGAATTGTTTCCGTGTTTCATTTTGTAGGAATGCTGTCTGGGCCAGCTATAGGCGGTAAGCTTCTAATGAGCATTTATACAAATCCTTTGTGCTCATATCTTTGTAATAGGAGGTGTGTTTATTATTAAATCTACATGAATTTACTAAACTCTTGTGTTATTGCCGGAAAATACATAGCACTTTATTATACCAGAGGATATAAAGCTCCCTTTATTTTTTGTATCTCACTTGCAGTTGCAGATTTTATAATGCGACTGTTCTTGATCGAACTCAAGCATAGCCCATCAGATTGGTTTGAATCAGAGGGTCAACAAGAGATAAAAAGGGACCCAAATGCCCAGGAAGGTTCAATTTTATCAATTGCCCACACATCTCCAAAGAAAGGTCACAAACCGCAAGTAACGTATTTTGTTTTGCTAAAGCAGCCTCGACTGATAAACGGATTACTATTAAACATCTCCTATGCTCTTCTTACTGGAGTCCTTGAGGTCATTAGTCTCTCCATTTTTTCCATAAATTTATTAATGGTTTTATATCTAGTCCATATTTAGTACTAGATTAGCGTCTGAATGGGACTACGACTCTCGTCAAATTGGTCTTCTTTACAGTGCCACAGTAATACCAAACTTTATATCAACCACTGTGGCGGGTATCCTTGCAGATAGATATGGTCCCAAGGTGATTATTTATCCGTTTTGGCTTCTGTGCATAGTTACAGTTGCGCTGACAGGAGTGCCAAACAAAGATATGAACAGTGGCGCCGTGCTCTTTGTGGCTCTGGCAGGGATTTCTACTTTCTGCGCGTCTGCATTTGTCGCGCCTACTTTCTCAGAGATTGCCTACGTCGTGGAGTCTCAGAATGCTGAAGGTGAGGACGACGGTACAAGCAGAAGCTACGCGTTGATAAATATCGCGTTTGCTTTTGGATTCATTGTAGGATCGCTACTTGGCGGGTATTTGTATACAGCTATTGGAGTCATGTGGTTGTACATTCTTCTAGGCGTCATCTTTTTGATATTTACCCCCTATGTGTTTATGTTTACTGGAGAAAGAGGGAAGTTTATTGTTCGGTCTAATCAAGAGAAATAAAGCTTGGATATTATATTCTAACTCAGCACAAGTGCCGTTTTGGTAGCTTTAAAGTTACTAAGGTTTAGCAGCCATATCGGATACTGAAAAATACTTAGAAATATTTAACTTTTTTGTGAATACTCTTGAAGTAAAGGTTAATGAATGAAGTGTAATAGACTTTTTTCAAAGTGTTTATTATATCAATTATAAAAAAAAAAGGGAAAAATCATTGTTGTCTTGGTGTAATTGTATGAGACGGCTCTTCAACGTCATAAATTGCAGTAGCTGCTTCTTTCAAAGTGTTTATCAATAAAGACATTTCATTCAGCTTGCCTTGCTGGCTAACAAAGCAAACTTTTCTTTCCATAGCTTGTTTATTACCTGGCAATACTTTTCTCCCTTGTTGTTGAATTCACTAAAGCACAGATTTCTCTCGTCCATGTTACTAGTGTTTTGAATATTATCAAAGACAGATTCAGAAAAAAAATGTTGTTTTTTATGAGAACTCTGGCAGAGGGCATGGCTCGTGGATAAAGGGAGACGAAAAAAAGAAGCATAAGTATTTTGCAGAAGTCCCTTTCCAATAGATCAACTGTCATTTCAATTCCTGAATACCGATCATCAAAATTATGCTGTATATGTGACGAACCAATCATTCATCCAAAAAAGAACAATGAAGAGGACAACCTTGATGCAGTCTTGTGTGTCAATCCTGACTGCATTGGTCGTCAACATACATATGTATAAGAAGCCGAGGCACCAATGAAACAGTGAATATTATGAAAACTAGATTATACAAGATGACCATAAACGACGACCATCTTTCGTTTTCAAGAGAAATGAAGATGCTTTAAAGAAATTGTTTCATGGCTCGACACAATCTGGAAAGTTGGTGTCGGACTTTCTCTCAGTGTAGAGAACGGGTCTCGGATACTTTTTTTGGGTATTTAGAGTTCTCCGTGCTGTTTTCCTCAACGCGTCCTTGAGAGTCACCTGTTTTGTTTCTTCCATAATGGATTTAAAATTCTTTTCTGATCTACAGCAATCGCTTGAAGAAGACACTCAAAGAAGAGACGTAAATATAAAACGCATATGTTTATTAATTGAAACCAATTATAAATAAAATTAGGAAATTCGTAATGCTGTCAAGGAGTTAGACAGAATCTGCCGCCGATTGAATGCGACACTTGGTCATATTCATGCAGACCCAAATGGACCAGGTAAATGAAAATAGAGAGAGAAAAACAAAATTGACGCGTGTGCTTTACTATAGTACCAGCTATTGACTTTACTCCTGTACAAGAACAACTATCAACACTTGCAAAGCTGATTCCTCCTCATGAGTTTTACATATACAATGACATATGGGCTCGTACTACCCAACAAGCAGTTTTCTTGGTCATATTTGAATCGTATTTGAAAAATGGGGAGCTTGTGGATGATATTATACCAGCTGTGGAATCATCACTTGGAGGTATGGATAGAAATGGGTAGGGCCAAAATATTGATATATGGTTTACATAGTCAAGGTGGATATTCATAATAATGCTGATGAATTTCATATTCAACTTGAAGATATACTTCATGCGTATATCTCGCTTGTAAACGAACTGGTACGTATTCTATTAAAGAAAGTATGACAGCAACGTGTTTATGCACAGAATTAGTCGCGATTAGCTATAAACTGTGTAACTGTGGGTGATTATGAGAGGCCCTTGGTGATTTCTAAACACGTTAAAGATCTAAGCTCAGGATTTCAATTGCTCAACTTGAAAAATGACAGCATTCGTAAAAGGTAAATGAATACGTAGCATTACAAGATATTCATGCTTGTCTATAGATTCGATAGCATCAAATACGATGTGAAAAAGATTGAAGAAGTAGTCTATGATATTACATTACGTGGATTACATAATGCAAAAAAAAGAGGATTGTCCAATGAAGAAAACGATCAAGAAAAAAAGGCAAAGACGGCCGATCAGTAAACTACTGTGTTTCCTATAGTGAAACACTATCTTTTTTGCTCTTATTTGTAATGCATACAAAAGTTTAAGATGGACACTTGTTGGACATGAAAAAAATAAAGTAACTTTATGCTATTTACCGTATTGAATGCCTCATGGTATGCCTTTCTCAGTATCGAATCGGGTAGCATTCTTCAATTGAGAATACTCGTTAACGTGATCAAGGGAGGTTTTCTTTAAAGGTAAAGGCGCCACCTCTTTCTACGCAAGAAAGCTCGTCGTCCATTATAAAAGTTTCATAGCATCTTTTCTTATGGAACCCAAAACTGTCACAAACTTTATCTAGATTTGAATTTCTTGTTGACCTCAAGTATCAATTGCAGCCTTTCCCACAATTCAAAACTAGCAAGCAAAAGACTGAATCCCCGAAAGCGACACACTGATCGGAAATGGCCCCCGCGATCAACAACCAGAAAGGATTGGTGTAACAGAAAATATAGAGTCTTTCTGTAAAGGCTTACAGACAAATTGACAATGTTTTGCAAGTTTTTTGTATAAAAACGAAAGAAGAGATAAAAAAGAGAGGAAAAGATGAAAAAAAAAGAGAGAGAGGCTTTATGTTATGTCTATCAGGTCTTTATTAAAAAGGACAATGGCTAATTTCGGCCATTCAATCAATAAATTTTGATTGCTAAAGGAGAACAATGAATTTTTCCTTTTTCCCTTTTTTCTTCTTTGCCCACAACACAACAACACTAAAACTTCATTTCCTTTTTTTGTCAATTTATATACATTGTTTGTATATAAAATATACAACAATGGACCTTTCAGAAGCAACTCAGTATTTTGATGGAGGAATAATATTTGTGAGTTATATTATATCAGTGATTGGAGCACAAACGACACTTGAATTATTGACAAGAAGAACTCATATCCATGGATTATACAACTGGTAGTCATGACAACTTTACTCGTATCGGTAGCAACTAATTATGATGCAATTCAGGTTTTTACTGGCGTCAGCATCCTTCACGATGGGTGCTGTTGGTATCTGGTCGATGCATTTTATTGGAAATAACAGCATGACCCTTTGGACGGACGATGCCTCTTATCAGTTATCATATGAAGCAGGCTATACATTTGCAAGTCTGGTTGTCGCTATTGTGTGTATGTTTATATCATTTGCATTTGTTGGCGTAACTGAAAAGGCACAATTGATACGTATCATACCAAGTGGCATCTTTACAGGAGTAAGTAACAAAAAGGAATGTAGTACAATTCAATTTTAATAATATCTATAGTGTGGTATTGCCTGCATGCACTATCTGGGTAAGAATAACGCCAATATTGCTTTTACGTAATAACTGATTTAACAAAGGTCAATTCGCCGTCGAGTATTTCGTTATTGGCTATAAGAGAGCCTATGTTATTGGTGCGATCGTTATTGCCTGTATCGCCGTTACAATTGCCCTCTATATTTTTTTCAAGTTACGCGAAAACTGGACGGATACGTGGTACAAGAGGTTAGGTTGTGCAATGTTGATGGCTGTTGCAGTTTGCGGTAAGAAAAAAAAAACAATGAATTATCCAATCAGCTTCATATATTCATGTGCTTTAGGCATGCATTACACTGCATTAGTGGGGACAGTTTTCTACGTTCCCTATGGACACAACCCACCTCCTCAACCAAAGCTTCGTCCAGCTGCCTTGATTGGTATTATTGCTGCTATTGTCGTAGTGGCTTGCGCTACATTATCCTATATCAGTTTCAAGACTGGCTTAAAAGAATTTAAGAAAGTGACCAGCAAGCGACTGATTTTGGACTCTGTCATATTTGATAAATCTGGGCATATCCTTGTAAAAGTAGATGGAACATTACCCGCGAAAGAAATCATACATGACCTTGATGCAAATGTAAGCATGGTGTGCATCCGTTTTATGAAAATCTAACTTTCTGTTCATAGGAAGCTACTCAACATTTCAACTCGGGTCATCCATTGTTTATTCTTTTGTTTGAAGCGATTATCCAAAGAGTATCAATTCAAACTCCTTTCTTAGACAACAGACGCCACTCTGGCGTTTCAGATACCTCACAGCCACTTCTTGATTCAATCAAGAACCAGTTTCTGGATGCTGTGCAAGACTTGCAGCAAGAGCTTCACTTTATGTATCCTTCGGATCTCGGTATCATGAGTGATATTGTTGTTACTACAGACACGATAGCAAAGTCCGCTTTCTCTAAAGTCAACCCCTTTGCACAAAAAAACTCCAAGCAAAGGCAAAGTTTTCAGTACGGTAATCAGCCTCTCGCTGAAATTATTGATGAAACAGTTGTCGATTTGACCGTTAAAGGTAAAAGGATGTCAAGACTTGTCAACCTGATGAGCACAAGCAAACTATCAGAGGACGAGGAGCTGGGCGGGAATTCCGGCCGTACTAAGCGATTGTCCTCAAGCACGGCACTTGCATCGGTCGATACGTTAAGACTCTCTGTTGAAGACTCGGATGGTGAAGACAAACACATTTTTCTGACTCAGCGACTTACCAGTAATAAGGAGACTCAGCGACTGCTATCTCAAGGCTATCGATTTGCTGAACCTACGTTCATTGCAAAAACGATGGCAGCTAAACTACGCGTGCCTCCTGAATATATGCGACAGTGCTTTCTGGATATGGATCAGCTAATAAACTCCACTTACACCCTTACTCGAGCACCATCAGAGACTAAAAATGCTGTCTGCATGGGCGCCTTTGTCTTGGTAGAAGAAAATGGACTAAGCATTCTCGTTGACAAGGTCAAGCGATATGCGTTTCCTTTTGTAGACCTCATGTTGGATAACGAAGGAGAATTAGACCGGCAAGAACTGGACTATATCAACACTACTCTGCAGGGACGCACTTTACTTGAGATATCACAATCTCCAAAAGATTCTTGGCCAAGTCCTCGATTAGCAAAGGCTCTTGAACATGCAGCTAACCAACTATTTGACATTAGCGCCTACAGTAAAGCACTCTATCAGTCATCTGTGCTTCACAGCACAGTCATTGACCTACCAGCATTTGCACTTACTCCTTGTCCCTGTCAATTGATTTTATTTACCACTTTGGTAACTACGCCTGGAACCGAAACAGCTATCAATCGTACATTTTACGAACCTTTCAAGTGTATTCCTTTATCCATCTTCAAGCCTCTTTGTGGTTATCTCACGGACCAGGCTGCCTACATTTACCAACTTGAGAATCGGCCTCGTCCGTACTCTATGCAGCAACAATTGTATCTCCAGGCTGGCCTTTCAGAGCATACTCAATCATCAGATCAAGTGGAAGAAATCATAGAACCCTCTAATAGGCATAACTTTTCACTACCCCCTCCACCTAGATCAAAGCGCAAGAGACTCTCGACAACAGTTGTATCATCACAAACACCGCTTTCTGTATTAAAGACACCACTCACTGTTTTACCCACAAAAGATAGATTCTGGTGGATAGACTTGATTGTAGAAAACATCATTCATAATAGCATCTAAGCAAACCAATTTGTATTATATACATATATATTCATGTACTGTTTAAATTTTTGTCTACCGTAATAAAAATCACTAATGAATTTGAAGTGATCTAGTTACTTTATTTTATATATATACAGGATTACAAGAAAAATTACACATCATGCTTATTCTGTCATTCGATCGAGTGCTCGCGATAGTGTTATTGCACTTGTATCTAGAAACGTATCGAATTCAGGATCAAGAGGCTCCTTTCTTTGCAATAACTTCCATATCTTTTTCAACATTAATAATGTATCTGCGTCTAAACGACATTCCTTGTCTAAGCACAAAGTTTTAGTCACAAGTTATACTTTTTGGTACATAAATGCTTACTTTCTACAAGCTTGACGCCTTCTTGAAATATGATTGGTAATACAAACTGAGGAAGATTCACCCACTGGACTAATTCCTTCAGCTTATCTCCTGCTGCTGTATAGTCTAGGTTATCCATGTGCTCATTCATTATTAAGAGATAATTGTATGCCTTGTAGTATGTGCTATCATAACTTTTTCTTATGCCAACATCGATCAAATTACCGGTAGCTGAATAATCCTGAATTATCTTTATCAGCACCTTATCAAGACACTCCTGGTTTTCTGCAAGTTCATAGTAATGTATTGCTTTTCGGTAATCCTGTACTTCAAAGCATGCCGTAGCTTTCTTCTATAAAAAAAAAAAAGGAAATGCCTTAGTATCTATCTTTTAATAGCTTTCTCTGTACTTTACCTCATATAACGCCAACCCTTCTTCTTTCATATCATTAGCTACGCAAAACTCCGCGACTTCTTTTAGTCTATGTTCATCCTCAATATCTAATAGCTTCAAATGCTATGTTCCCCCGCACAAGTCAGTATTTCTATACTGATATCCCCTCTCCTTTCCCTTGAATTATTTTACCTCATGAATTGCTTCTTTTCCTATTTTACCACAAGATAGTAGATAAATAAAGCCTTCTTTCCATAACCCACATTCATTCTTTATACATGCAGCATACACTATCTTGAAATACTCTAAACATCCCATTTGAATTGTCTCTCCATGTTCTAGATTGGCATAAACAGGCTTGTCAAGCATACCCTTTTTCTCAAACAATATGCACAGGTGAGTAAGCAACCATCCGTCATATTGAGTACAGAAATCGAATGCCTGAAATATATTGCCTGCTAAAAACGCCTCTGCAGCATTATGGGTCTCTTCAAAGTTTGCATATAGAGGCATGCTACCACCATTCTTGGTTACAAGATGTTCGTAATACGAAGACACGACATATGCCTGTACTTGGTCACTTGCATATTGAGTTGCCACGCGCCTATTCCCGGCTAACAGACGACAAAGTATGCTCAAGCCGTCTACGATAGGGCCTTGGTATCGTGATAGGTTATCTAATACAGTATCAAGTCCATTTTGGCTTGGCTGTCTGATAATGTGCTGAATCTCTGTAAATAAGGGTGCAAGATCTTTGACATAAAGTTGCGACGAGGCGAGGGACAGTAACTGGCAGAGTTGTTCAGTCTGGTGAAAGAGAGCAAGACGATAAAGAAATGGCCAAAAGTCAGGATGATTCACTGTAGATGCATAAATACTATATCTGTCATGCTCCCATAAATAAGCTAAATGAAAAAAAAAAAAGAAAGGTCATTAGTAAATAGAGTAAAGGGGAGGCTGATGATCCAATTTTACGTTGGTATGTTTTGATCTGCCATTCCATAAGATCGGTGATACTGTATGGTTTTTCTGAAAAGTATATCAACTGACAAAGCTTCCAAATAGATAGCAGTACATTCATTGCTAGTCTTTCTCGTTTTGCTTCGTCATTATAACACTTGTGAATGTTAATCGTATATCGCTGCGTTGGGTTGTCAACATTTTACCTGTTCCAGATATTGAAGGTATCGTTCTAATAGGCATGTATATTTTTGTGCTATTGAGCAGACATCATCATTACTATTGATTAAAATGAATACACGCAAGTTGAAATGTGTATATAATAACATTACTTGTTTATTGACTGAAATAGTTCGGTTGAAGGTTCATAAAGCTATGAGTGTAAAGTCAATTAGAACAAGATATCACACAAGCATATATGCCTTGAGTACAAGTTGGCGTATAAAAGGTATATTATCTAATTTGGAATGACACACTTGCTGCAGGAACTTCTTTAAACTCATTTTTATACAAGTAAAAAAATAGAGAAAAAACCAACAAAATAACACAATGACGGCAATTAAAATAAATTAGGTAGACACACTTCCATTGGCAGCGTATATAAAGAATAGGACCCAAGCAACGATCATGGCGGTGATGAATAAACCCAAACAGATACAGTTGACGATTTTTACTCTAGTGTTATCATAGGAATCCAGACCTTGCTTATTGAGATCAATCTCTTCTTGGTTTCGTTCTTTCATGAGCGCAGTTCGTTTCTTTCGGCCTGCTTCTAATAGATTGTCTACTACGAAATATTGGCTGGCCCAAAGTGTGGAAATAAGTAAAAGCCCAACACAGGCCAAGACCAAAAAGAGAATCATGACGCCTGTATAGGCCTGATTCTTGGTGTGATCTTGTACGACTCCTACAATGATATCCAAGATAGATGTGCCGATATTATTTGAGCTCTTGTACATGCCAAGGCCAGTACCAATATAATCAGCAGGTAAAATCATACCAATGGAGGTAATCATACTGATGGGGCCAAATGCTAAAGAGATGCTATAGAATACCATACCGACTACAGCGTTCACGTAGGTCCAACCGAGTAAGACACAACTGAGGATCAAAAAGATAGCAGAGATCAGCAGAATGACGATACGACAACCATAAAGATCCATGATGATACCAAGTAAAGGAGTAGCAACAATAGGCACTGCTTGTGAAGCACTAGCCGTATATCCTGCCAAGACTCCTACATCACCAAAGTGAATCTGGACAAACTCTGTACTGATCGTTTGGAAAGACGACCAAACGGCAGCAAAGATGAACTCAATCAAAAGGATTTGCCAGTAGATTAATGGGAACTTGAGAACGCCTTTCCAATCAAATCGTTTGCGCTGTTTGAGCTTTTCAATGTCCTGGTGCGTCAAGACGCCAGTACCATCTCCTGAAGCGCGACGCAAGTGACGGACAACGAGTGCATAAACAACATTCATGATAATTGAAAAGCAGCAAATGATAAATGAGAGCCAAAAAGCCCATACCCAATCGCCCGTTCGTTTAGCCACAGGGTTGGCTACCAAAGTACCCAAAAAAGTAGCCAGTCTGCTGATAGAGAGCTGAAGACCAATAGCAATAGCTAGATTCTGTGTGCGAAACCACTTGGAGAGAATAGACTCTTGCATTGTGACAATTAAACCTGATCCGATACCAAAAATAACACGGGCAGCGACCATCAGTCCAAAAGAGTGGTATTTAGCAGCAATGGCTGTAAGTAGACTACCGAGGATGACAACCAAATTGACTGTCAGTGTGCCCCAGACAGAACCAAACATGTCAACAAAGATACCACCAAAAATTGGAAAGACGGTGGTGGTAATGAATACAGACGAGGAAATAACACCATATTGGGTATTGTTAATGTGAAGGTTCTACATGAGAAAAAACATTTTGGGTGAATATTTCCAAATCAAGTCAATTTCTTAAAAAAAAATTACCGCTTTAATAGGAGCCTTCATTGCGCTCAATGCACTTGTTGAAAAGTGTGAACCAACTAAGATGTTGTTAGTGTCATCTCTTTATTGTCTTATTCAAATCTTTACTCGGGAAGCAAAGAGCAGTAACAAGAGCGATTAGCTTGTACTGCCAGGGTGCATTTGCTAAAGCAGCATCCCCTGCCTGATGTTCTTGTATAGAGTCTGTCTCTGCTGTTGCTGTTGGGTTGTCTGATACCCATTGCTTTTCATCGGGTTTATCTACAGACATTTAGATAAAATATAAAAAAGGGAAAGAAAAAGAAAGAAAGAAAAAAAAAGAGCTTATATAATATGTGTATATAAGGTTTTATCTTTTTCTAATATAAATAAAAAACGCTGCTAGTGTTACTACTATTTGTTACTTAGCAGCTGATTTATTTATCTGATCTTTAAACCAATAACCAATAGATCTTACGTTACCGTTCCAGTCCATGCTTTATCAGATGCAAAAGATAATCTTTGGTAAACTATTCCAAGCGAACCTAGTCTTAAGTATGTACATAGCCTAAAATTTCTTACCAATGCATTAGCTTGCCTTATTTTGGAAAAAACGATCGAGATAAAATAAGATCAAAACCCTTCAAGTTTTTATTCTATTCCTTTTTTGATCACAGTTTGCATTTAACTTAAAATCTCGCTTATTCTTGATGTAATGTAAAAGCATATGCTATTAATCAAGTAACGTGATAACTTAAAATGCAGAGTGCTCAACCTTGAGAATATTATCGTCATACTTACACGATACAGAATATTTTTCCCTTGTGTAAAGTCTTGATCCTATCTTTAGATACTTACCCTTCCCCCCCCCCCCTCCGCTTATTAAGTACAACAGTACCAATAGTCTGCCTATTATCTTGATGCCGCATTTAGCGTGACATTAAAAAGTGAACAAGTAACCTATTTTTCAGTTAGTAGCACGTTGAGTAACACTCAACACAGAATGGAACGTTGCTCCTTTTTAGAAAACACTTTAGAGACAATATATGTTTTATTCATTTTTCCTTCTTTACAGAAAGCGTCCCTTTTAGGTTCAAGAGACATTGACTCTTCTGCCTCCTATCGAGATAAACACGTATGGAGCAAACAAAAGAAGCGTGCAACCCATGATGACACAAAGCCAAAAGAATCCAATGACACTATACAAGTAACCACTGGTGAGAGGACCAATGATACCGCCTACTGCATAGGCAATATTAAACAGACCGTAGCTTCTGCTCATACCGTTGTCGCCTTTACCATCCTCGTTATGAGATCGTACGATACAGGCAATTTCGGATTGAACAGGTGTCATGGCTGCAACCATAGAAAATCCCAAGGTAGCGATCAGGACTACAAGAGGAACAATACCTCCGATAGTAGATTTACTGGGTATTCCAATTAAGACGATGGCAGCTGCAGATAATAACCAGAATGGACATACTACCACTTTGGAACCGTATCTGTCAGCGATTATACCTGCAAATGGTGCTGAAATAAATGTAGGTATCACTCTAGCAATAAAGATTAATCCAATTTGACCAGAAGTATATTTCCATTCGGACGCTAGTCTAATCGTAAGAGAGTTCTATTTGTCAAAAGATGATGAGCATTGTTTTATTGTACAGTGTATAGATCAAAACCTCTAGACCAGCGGTAACAAATCCTTGTAAAAGAGCCATCAGGGTCGCATTTAACAGACGATTTTGTTGGAAGAGCTTGAGATAGGTCATGCGCTGCTCCTTTTCCGTTTTGATACTATGTTCTTGGTCAACATGCATCGATCTCTCCGAATCGACTGTGCTGAAAGTCAATTCGCTTATGTCATCTAGTCGACCTGAACCGGCACACTCTGGGGCATTCTTCTTATGTTCGATCAAAAGGAGTTGCATGATAAATGCGGGTACGTTGAGGGCCATACACAGGATAAGCGGTGCTTTATATCCTGTAGTTTGAAATAAGGCTACGAATTCATATCATGGTAAGCATCCGAATTGTACATTTGACAAGAATTCAGCTTACCCCCTACAAAATTATACTTGTCAGCCAATTGAGCAAAGATTCTGTGAAGCCCTTACCGCCTACTGGAGGACCTATCAGGAAGCCAAAAGAATGAGCAGCAACAATAATTCCAGCCTGACAAAATAAGTAAAATTGATAAAGAGAATTGAACAATCAAGTTTACCTGCTTTCCTACTTTATTCGTCGGAAACGTGTCCACAATTAAACACATTCCCATAATCCATATACACGAATTGGATAGTCCTTGAATTAATCGAGCAAGCTGAAGCATCCAAAGGACATTTCCAAACATAAAGAGTACTGTTGAGAGTACGAGCCAGAAAACACTAAACATCAACAATGGGCGTCGATGGTTGACCTTATCGCCTATAATAACATCAGCAATATGACCGAAAAAGCGATGATACCCTCCACTAACCTAAATATCCAAAAATGACTGATCCGACAATTGTACCCACAGAAAACATGATGAGTAAGGTACTGGATTTTCTTGATACACTGTCAGTTATGGATGTGCTTAAGCTTTGATATAAATTAGATGCCGTTACGTCAGGAGTCATGCCTTGGTCGATGGCGTCTACAATAAATGGCACTATGGAAACAAAGTGTAAGCTATCTTGTTTCGTTAAGGATTAATTCTCTACTCATTGGGATAATGGTGCTGTACGTGGTTATCTGTTGATAGCATGGTTATTAAATATTCAAAATGTGCAATAGAGATAATTACATCTGTGAATACAGACAATGAAACCGTCAACAATACACATAGTCTTGATGATCTGAAATCAGTAAAGCTGAGCATTCTTTTTTTTTTATTTTAGTTGGACAAAAGGAAAAAGGAACCCCTACAGAAAGTGTGTGGATATATACTCTGTTTGAAAACTATACTATGTAGGTGTATGCATATCCCCCTTTAATGCCTCGAATTAATTATGTGTTAATCTCAAAGCTAAGCTAAAACAGTACAAATATCAGGGGGTACAGAAGATCGCCAGCGTATGTACCCAATAGTGGCATCGCCATTTCTATTTTTGCTGCAGGGGATGAGGGATAGGAAGACGTTGATAAACAAGGTCTGACATAAAGCACGTTTGTAAAAATTGTTTAAAAGAGCAACTTTCGTGCCAATAGCGACAGTTACTATACAAATTTAGAATTGATCAGATGGTTATTACAACTCCATCTGAAGTTCAGGTATCAAGATATGTAAAAAAGAAACAAATAACAAACGAAAAACGACAAGAATAGAACCAAAAAAAGAGAAGAGAATTTATTTCTTCAGAGGCTATCGCCGAGCTAATATGATACCAAAGTTATAATATACTGAGTGTCGTATGCTTGTTACGAGTCCCATATGCTTGTATGTATTTGAACGTTTCGATCCACAGAGACCAAGTGGTTGAATAGAATAGAATTGACTTTTTATATAAAGGAGCGGGACTCCCCGAATGTGTGTACAGGAACAGAAAAAAAGGCAGCCTGTAAAAGTGCTGCTCCTGAACACAGCGGATTTTCCTTGGTGGTTCCTCTCTATTCTCTTCCCTCTCCCTTCGATGCGTACCAGTACGTAAGCTAGGGTAGGAAGCCTCTCTTGCAACATGGCTTCCTATCAATACACCGCCACACTTTAATTCAAGTATGGACTGTGGCAGCCATCTTGTGTTTCAAAAGAAGGGAATGGGTAGAAGAATAAAAAGTGTAACGAGAGAAAAAGAGAAAAAGGAAAAGAAGACAAATGTAAAATTTTGAAAAAGACAATGTGAGCGCTGTCTAAAAAAAAAGCACTGTCCGCTCCCAGCTGTACATAAAATAAGTATTCTAGAACTGTGTTGCCAATGTTCATTGAAGATGCGACAGTCTCAACATTGGACTTACAAGAGGGATATTGTATAAAGATATAATAGAATAATTCTTTTGAAATCTTTGTTTGTCGCAATATTTGTCTAGAGCATTTATGAAAATACTCAAGCTCCCCCTTAAAGTCATTCGTCTCAAAGCTACCAGAACCTTGGACTGATCCTCAAGATCAAACTCTTCTTACTCCAGCAACCTGTTGTCTTATGCTTTATTATTAACCATTGAATAAACTGTAACAATAGCCTTAGGGCATGATTTACTTGGTACATTTTCCTGTGAAAGGCGCAATCTCTCATAATCCCACACTAATTCTCTCTCTTTCTCCTACCCCCAATTCCCTAATCCAGGAGCGTTTTGACAAAGACAGGTCACAGTCTTTTTTTGCTCCACAGATTCATACACGACGCTGTCAGCTATTCCGGAGAAAGATCTTGTATGGAGCCGAAATGAGGTGGACTCCTAATTATTTTGTAGCTCAAGCAATTCTCAAGAGAGAGCCGGACGCGCCCTACCTTTTGCCCTGACCTGTATATAGTTTATAGTTATGTTTGACCGATATTTCTCTCATAACAGTATCTACTACTAGCCTTTTTGCATTGTCCTCAAACTGTTTTGGTTACTGTTTTATATTTTAAATATCCTAGAGAACAGCTCGTATTTTATATACCCCAGAAATATACCAGAGCTTGTTACGACAGTAAATCTTCAACAGAGCAACATTAACTGTTGAAAAAGAGTGCTACATCAGTTGCCCTTTTTAAAAAAGTGTATGTCGGGCAATGAATATCATAACCAACTCTTTTCATTGGGCAACCCAATTTCACTCCACCCCCCTTCTCGAGAAATAATTTTTTGTCCCCCGGCTTCGTCTCTTTTTTTTGATTGTATAGTTAGAATGGCACAGCAAGCAAAGCAAGCAGCTCAACGTTTAGGAGGCATGTTCCCCCAAGGTTCCGGTAAAGGACTCGGATCTGCCGCTGGTGCCTTGGTCGTTTTGGGAGCTTTAGGTTATGGTGTGAATGCTTCTCTTTTCAACGGTAAAATTGAATGAAATATAAAACATTGATCTTACTCACTCTCTTCAAGTTGACGGTGGTCACCGAGCTATCAAATATACTCGTCTCTTTGGTGTACAAAACACTGTTTATAACGAAGGTACTCACTTTATGATTCCTTGGTTCGAAACACCCATTATCTACGATGTTCGTGCTAAGCCTCGTAATGTTGCTTCATTAACTGGCACTAAAGGTAATGATTTATTACTATAACAAATGTAGTGAGCTCTAAACAGAAAATGATAGATTTACAAATGGTCAACATTACTTGTCGTGTACTTTCAAAGCCTCGTGTTGATCAGCTTGCTACCGTTTACCGTACATTAGGCCAAGATTATGATGAACGTATTTTACCTTCTATTGTCAATGAAGTGCTCAAGTCAGTTGTAGCACAATTCACTGCCTCACAATTGATCACTCAACGTGAACGTGTATCAAGATTGGTTCGTGAAAACCTCGTCCGTCGTGCACTTCGATTCAACATTATTTTGGATGATGTCTCTATTACTCACGTTGGATTCTCACCTGTTTTCGAAAGCGCCGTCGAAGCCAAGCAGATTGCTCAACAGGAAGCTCAACGTGCAGCCTTTGTTGTAGATAAAGCAAGACAAGAAAAGCAGTCCGTCATTGTTCGTGCACAAGGTGAGGCCAAGTCAGCTGAATTGATTGGTGAGGCGATCAAGAACAAGCCTGGATTCCTCGAGTTGAAGCGTATTGAAGCCGCTCGTGAGATTGCTAGCATCATTTCTAGATCTGGAAATAAGGTCATGCTTGATGCTGATACTTTGCTTCTTAACATCAACTCACCCTCAGAAAAGAGTAATGTCAAGAACTAATTGTAAGAAGAGTATTATATAGTTTTGTAAAAATAAAAATAAAATGGTATACATACAAATGTCCAATATGAAGTAATGGGAAAAAAACACATTTGGGATTGACAAGAACCATGTGATGCAGCGTGGGCGGAAACATCCTTTTTTAAAGTGACTAAATCACAACATTTGTAGCTACAACTGATCCCTTTTTTTTTTGGCTGGGAATTATGAGAATAGATAGTTTAGTAATTCGTTCAACAAAATAACTTTATTACAAGATAGAAGATACAAGTAATGGGGGATCCCAAGGCGGGGAATAGGAAATAGCTTTAGCATTGGTGCTCTTGTGGTATTCTTTTGCATAAATCTGAACAACGTCTTCCATGATTGAATAAAAATCATCAATTTCCAAATCATAATTCTAAATAAAGTCAATATTAAGAACAAAAAAGAACAATAGATTTTACCAAGAGTTGTAGTAATTGTTTTTCCATCAGATTGATTTCATTGGCAGTAAACATACCCGCATAAGCAACCCAGTACTTATTTTTTAGTGCGGTATCATGAAGATACTTTGTAGTGATGATTAATGTAGCTAAGAATATTCTATGATGAGTGCACTCCATTCCTATACATAACAAAAAGATAAGGGTCAATTATAAATTCTATAAATTATCTCACCTTTGCTAGTACGTGATAATCTCTTCCTTAGCCGCCTTGCATAAGATAAGGAACTGATTAATGTTCCCGTATCTGTATGTGATTTAGTAACTATGGATTCAATAAATGATCTTAGAGGAATGACTTTGTCAATTGATAAAGGAGGAGATGGTAATGAACTATGATTATTTATTGATGACAGTTTGTTGTTGTTTGTAAAATAGTCTTCTTTGATGCATGGTAAAATTGATTGAAATTCAATAGTAACATAGTCTATAGAATATCAATAACCGTCCCTTCATTGAAATCTCTTCCCTATGAATACCTAGTAAATAACTAGAAATAGGCTTTCGAATGATTTTATCAAATAAAAGAAACGAAGGATCCATAAAAAGTATATAGAGAAAGGAAAAGAAAAAAAAAAGAAAAAGAAAAACTAGTAACTTTATATTTCTAAAGGAATTTTTATAAAGTTTATTTTCAAAAGAATAAAATATATAAATATCTACTAACTACAAGCCTTTTGGTTTCACTTTATGCCTATGCAAACACTTGTGTAACTATATCGGTTGTTGTCTTATTCTTCCTTGTGTACAACGATTTGCATAATGGCCCTGTTGCCCACATTTGAAGCAAGTCACGTCTTCAAGTCTTCTAAAGGTGCCTGGAGGTCTGTTATAGTGCTGCTGCTGTTGTTGTTGCTGTGGATGATGTAATTGTTGAGGTGGTTGAGACTGTTGTTGTTGTTGTAGTGGTTGCTGCTGCTGCTGTTGTTGTTGTTGGGTCTGTTGGGATTTTTGTTGTTCAGCTTCTGCTGATAAAGTATACATGACAGGTAACTCATATTTGGGATGACCATTAGGACAATTAAGACCATCAGGACAAAATCCAGTCAAATAGTTTTGACAAACCAACTTTCGAACATGCTTATTTCGGCAATTCGGTCCTATTTTAGACAAGTTAGTTCAATACTCTTTATCAACAACTTGTTACTCACCATGTTTACAAAATCCTCGAGCATACCAAGGGCATTCTTTCTGTTTACTCTCTGGATCAATATGCAAATACATACATTCGTCTCCATTACAGCATTCTCCATATTTGGAATAAAACCAGCATTCAGGCATCTTTTTCATATTGAACACATGTAGAAATTCACAAGCATCTCCTTTCTTACATAAACCTCGGAGCCAATGTTTACAGACAACTGATTTATCGCGATCATATCCTTTATGCTTGAATTGGCAATTGTATCCTTTTGTACATGTACCCTTTAAGAAATATTTACAAATAGGCTCCTCTATAATGTACTTGGTAACTACGCACATGACTAAACTATTCTTACTTTGTTTTTACCTTCTTTCTTTACATTCTCTTCTAGATTTAATCCTAATTCGTTCTTTATGTATTCTTCAAAATCAAATGTTAAATTATTATAATTCACATTAAATATTGGTGCTTCCAACATTTTATTTTTATTCAACAAAAAGAAAGTCAACAACAACAACAAAAAAAAAAAATAGGTATTTAGTACGCCTATGAACGGAAATTGAAATAACTGGGAGGGAAAGAAGACAGAGAATGTTGAGCCAATGGACTTCAATATTTAAAAAGGAAAAATGTGATTACGTGTGAGTTCTTTCCTTGATTAATGCAAGCAAAAAAGTGAGGGCGTCTCAGGATTTGCTTACCCCTCTTTTTTTACAAATAAACAAAATCTACCACAGAAAGAGAGTCTTTGATTAATAATATAAACACTTTCTACTCCTTAAATCAAGACTGTCTCCTTTTCATGAGTGTTACGAAAAATGATAAAAAAGGAAATATCTTTAGTCAAACTCAATTTTTTTTATTTGCACAATATGCCTCTGTGACTTTCCAAATCAAATCTTAAATAGGATAGCCTTTGGCAGTAAATCTTTGATCAGCAAACATTCTTTTCTTTTTCTTTTTCTCTATTCTTTAATATCATACATTGCATGACAGAAAAATCAAAAGTCAAAGTAGCCGTCATAGGATCAGGCTTGGCTGGTCTATCGGTAGCTTATTTATTAACAAAAGGATCAGATAAATTTGAAGTTCACTTGTTCGAAAAGAATACTTCGTTAGGGATGGATGCTTCTTCTATCTCGGTTGGTCCCAATAAAGAGCATCGAATCGATGTAAGTCAATAAAAATGTTGATCGAGCATCCCCTTCTTTTTAACTATATATCTGTATATATCTTAGGTACCAATGCGATCATTCATGTCTGGTAAGAAAACAATGGTGAATATGTCATGCTGTAATAACACATTTATAGGCTACTATTCACATCTCTTACGATTATATAATCACCTACAAATTCCTGCCAAAAAGGCAAAGTTCAGTTTCGGATGGTACAAGATCCAACAAGACACAGCACAGCAGTACGCCCCAACCGAAGTGGCTTCATTTACTAAAAATGAACCATACTTGATATACAGCGGTGCACGTACTGTAGGTTACCTCAATTGGATCCAGCGTAATACACATTCGCTCATGGGCTCAGTTCAAGCCCTTGTTACTTTTTTCTGGAATACCTGCATTGTCGCATTTTCTTACTTTCAAATTCTATTAATATCACTCTACATGCATCACAAGGGTCATTTGAAGGACCCTACGCACGAGATATGTAATCTAACTCTAAATGAGTTCTTCAAGAGATACTATATTCATGAATATTTTGCATACCAAGTCTTTGTGCCGCTATTTGCAGCAGTTTGTACCAACTCACACCAGTCCATGCTACAGTATCCTGCATCTGATATTCTAGGTTTGTGTGTCACTCTCCTTTTCTTTTGTTACTAATTTTGCATATGATAATTTAAAAACAGAATACGTGGCACTAGGCGTATTTGAAGAATCGTATGTGGCAGCGTGTGGTGTTCAGCAAGTTGTCAAGCGACTCTCAGCTCCACTAGAACATATTCACCTAAAGACTCAAATCACCAATATTCAGTTTGACCCATCTTCTCGTCATCGATACCAAATCCAGGATGAAAAAGAACAGTCGTATGATATTGATCACATCATTTTTGCAACTCAGGGTAACCAAGCGGCGAACTTACTAAAGCATCTGGCCCATTCTACCCCAAAGCTCAAGGAATCGCTCAAAGATCAGATCGATATGCTCAGCAGATTCCAGTATGATTCTGCCTTAGTCATCAATCACACAGACGTTCGTGTGCTGCCGAGGAATCCAAGTCATTGGAGAGCTCTCAACTTGGCCGTGATTGACAGGAGCGTAGACCCTGGTGACAGTGAGCTCATCGTGCCGTATCCTCACGACACAACCATGGCCACACATATCCTCAACATGACGCACAACCAGATGCCCCAAGAGATGATCTATATGCAGACGACAAATCCGTGTCTTAGCGTAGATCCGGAAAAGGTACTTTCTGTTGCCTGGTTTGAACGCGCGACGGTAACACTGGATTCTAAGCGAGCACTGCAGACCGGTTTATTCACCTTAGAGGACGGTGAATATGAACTAGGACCCTGTCAAGGCAAGAACAATATCTGGTTCGTTGGATCATACTGTTGGAAGGGAATTCCATTGCTCGAAGGCTGCGTGGCAAGCGCAGAGTATGTGGTCATCAAAGGCATTGCACGCTATGAAGGTGTGTCTGTCAACGTGCCTTGGTAATCGGCGTTTTAAATTATATTTACCCTGATTATGTAATAAACTGTCTCTTTCTTTATTCCACATAATGAAAGCTCTGTTGTTGTTGATATTGAGTTGCTTGATAGTATTATGCCTTGCTTCCTCAGGAGATATTCAGCCAGAGTATAATATGTGCGTAGACACATGCTCATCTAGACCCCATTTATTGCCAGCTTATTTACGATTGTTTGGCTGGACTGTCAGAGATGATTGCAGGTACCGTTGCATGCAGACAATCACACAAGAGGCAATAAAGCAAGGGACACGCATTCACCAGTATCACGGCAAGTGGCCCTTTTATCGACTATACGGCATTCAAGAACCTGCATCTGTCTTGTTTTCCATTCTGAATGGTCTTCAGCATTACAAATATTTTTTCAGGCTAAAGCAACAACTGTCAAACACGTATTATTTGAAGCCTATATACATGGGTATCTCTATCTGTGGTATGAACGCTTGGATCTGGAGCACTGTTTTTCATACGCGCGATACGCCATGGACAGAAAAACTCGATTATTTTAGTGCAGGACTTTATATCCTCTACGGCTTCTTCGTCGCCGTCCTACGCATCTTTCACATCCGACACCGACTCGCGCTCGCCGTGTGGGCCTGTCTCTGTGCTGGAGCCTTTGCCGCACACGTGACGTATCTCGCACGTCTACCAAGATTTGACTACGGCTACAACATGCTTGCCTGTCTGATCATTGGAGGAATCCAGACATCACTGTGGCTCATTTGGTCCATCTGGAACGTGAAGAAACGATCTTATGCCTGGATGGCCGGCGTCTCTGTCGTCCTAGTCAGTTTGGCCATGTGTTTGGAGATTTTTGATTTCCCACCTTGGCTTGGCGTGTTGGATGCCCATTCTCTCTGGCATGCAGCAACCATACCTTTAGCTCCCTTGTTTTATCGATTTTTATTACGAGATGCATACGCAGAGACGAATCAGACATCAGTCGATAAACGATCGTCGTGAGCACACCATGACGTATACGTGTAAAGAATTTGCACAAAAAGAAAGTCAGAAGTCAAAAGGGAGAGAGTCGCCCACAGATACCAATGACATGAAAAAAATAAAAAAAAAAAGAATCTCACCATGACAACTCTCACTTGGGGTATGTCATTTTTTTCTGGGATATCGTGTTCCCCCTTTTGTTCTTTGTCTTTTTCCTTTTATGAAAATAAGGTTAGAAAAGGGGAGTTACACTTTTAAACAAGGTAAATTCTTTCAAGGGTGAACATCAAAAGTTCTAAAAATAAATTTGACACTTGCTAACAAATTAGGTTGCATTATCGGGCGATGTCATGGGCACTGATATTTTTTTGTCTTTGGATACTCTTTCTTTTATCACAATTACATCAGAACTTAATGAGTATTCAAGTTCTGTAAGATAAAGGAGGTGTTGAACATCCTGAGGTTATCGCTGCAGAATATTGCTGACCCTTTATGATTTCTCGAGTTCAATTGAGTAGACATTGATCAGGTGAATGAGGTACAAAGCAGCAAGCTCCTGGGATAAAAAGAAAGACGGATGACAGGGATCTGTCAAGGTTCTAATAGCTTAAAGATGAGTGGCTTCAGGGGAGCTTTAAATTATGGAAAACAGAGCATGTGATTGGACCAAATACAGCACAGACTGCAATAGCCCCTTCACACGCTTATGGAATTCGCAGCTGTGAGCTTTAGGAAATGCCAATCCTTTATTGGACTGAAACTCGGGATAAAAATTAACCAAGCAAGCCTAGAAGAAGTATAGCTGTTATCGCCTATATTCTCTTGTAAGTAATTGTACACATTGATCTTTTCCGGGTCAAGAAAGCTTTATGTATAAAGGTGTTACCAAGCCCTGAAGCAAGTGTTATTTCCGGTGGAATATGTTACCATTACACCAATTGTAATGTTTAAACAAGCTATTATCCTTTATTAGAAAGTAACAAAAAGTCGGATTGATGGCTTCATTCTTAGTGCTTTGTTCTAAATACAAGCTGAATCAAGAAAAACAACCAATTGAAGACCTAACAGGGTTACTGGTTCCCCCTTAGTTTTCAAAGTTATAATGACGATAAAAATAAACAATGATGTAATCTTGACTGCTTTTGTAAAGTAGTAACTGATTTTCATTAGATGCGACTCTACTTTCTGGAAACAAGTTGCCCATGATTGTGGATCCTAAAAATTTTTTTTTTCGATCCTAATCTTTTTGTTCTATAAAAAGTTAAAGCAGAAAGCGGAATTTTTCATATGTTTTAATTGAATTGGCACCATCTTTTTTTTTTCTTCTCTTTTATCGCTCAATGCCAGAGATAGAAGAAAAACCGCAAACCCACAACGAAACGCCTCCTGTCAGACGACCCCCTAATCCAAGATCCGCCTCATCCTCTGTCTCTGTCGTGAGCACCGATGACGAGGAGCCTGTTTTAATTGATGACGGCGTACCTGCCCATATTCCACTAGAAGCCTTGGCAGGCCCAGCACTTGTTTTACCCAAGACAACCGACCTCGATGGCCGTACACTACGCGAGGATTTCGATTGGGCAGGCAAAGACGAAGACGAAGAGGCCGAGAAGAAGGAAGATGAAAAGAAAAAGGGCGCACTTCTTACGAGTGGCCTCTTTATCTGTATCTCAAACAATTCAGCACCTATTGCATGGACCTGTACCGTCCTTTTTGCAGCCATGTTTATTGCTGTAGATGTTGCTATCTTTGTCGTGTATCACAACCGAGATCAAATCACAATGACTTCGTACGGTCTACAGCTCTGGTTTACTTGGTTAGCCTTTGTCTGGTGCATCGCTTGTATCTCTCAGGTGTTTGTAGAGGTCGTACCATGGACAATTAAGAAAGTAGTAGATTCTATTCGGCCACAATCAACAGAGGTGCTAAAGATGCGACTTTCTGTAAGTAGCAATAATAATTATCTGTGTTACCAGACGATTCATTGTTATTTTTTCTCAACAGTACTATATGGCACTACGTACCTACATCAAGCTACTCTTGATCTCTTCTTGGGCTTGGGGTGCCTGGGCATTTATCCAAGACCGTATTGCATTGCCTTATGTTGGTACTGATGCAAATGGTATAGATCAGTATGCCAGTAAACCTTCTTATGTGCATACTTTTTATAGTATCTGGGAAGCTTGCTTTTTCGCCGCTTTATTTTTGTTTATTGAAAAGTTTATTCTTCAGCTGATCGGTAAGTTTTCTTTGACAGTTTTTGTAAAGATGTCATAATGCTAATTTTATCTCTTTGTTTGATAGTTACATCTTTTCACAAGTAAGAGCATACATATAAAAATATTTTAGGGATAGCGACTTATACTTTTATATATAATAGAAAGGCATATGAGGATAGAATTAAAGAAAATGACAAAGGACTTCGTATCCTGGACAGACTCAAAAAGATGAAGCGCAAAAATCCTCAAGAAATACTATTCAAACGTATCCGTCGAAAGCCCAAGACACCGGGCACAAGTGGTACTGGGACCCCCGTACGATCACACTCGATGGATGAAGGTGTACCAAACAAGTCGATCATGTCCAACCAACACGAATTCTCGGATCAAAAGTCAAATGTCAAATTTCCTCCTTCACAAAACATGGATACCTTGATTGCTATTCCACCTATCGAGGACCGATACAGTCGTTCAGATGATGAGAAGCAAGACCTGAGAAGCGAACTGGAGCTTGAGAAGCCCTCAAAGAACAAAAAGTCACTCTTTCAAAAACTGAAGCGACAAAACAAGGAACAGGATCAAGTGTCTACTGCAACAACTCCTAGCAGTGACGAGTACCGTCCTACACCTATTTCTAGAGAAAATACATGGTTTTCTCGTACAAGTCATGATGGTTTCTTTAGCGCCACCAAAGATTTTGGTATTAGCACTTCGCAAATCCCTGGTAAATTGCTAAAAGGTGGTTATCAAAAATTTGTATCACAAACGAAACGAGATGGTGTACCTGCTCAAAATTCGACACAGCAGGCCAAGGCCTTGGCTAAAAAGATATACAACAACATCATTGGTGCTGATGCAAACCGTGACTACATTGTTGAATCGGACCTGTATCCATTTTTTAGTACTGTCGAGGAAGCGTCTGAGGCGTTTCAGCTGTTTGATAGAGATGGAAACGGAGATATCAGCAAAAGGGAACTCAGATCGGGCTGCATTCGAATTTACAAGGAACGCAAAAATCTGAGTCGATCCATGCGTGACCTGTCTCAGGCAACGGGTAAATTGGATATTATCCTTGTTATTGTCTTTACCATTGTCTGGGTCATCATTGTCTGCGCAGCATTTGGTGTTAATGTCGGCACAGATCTGATGCCACTTTGGAGTGCCTTTGTTGCAGCTAGTTTTATTTTTGGTACCTCTGCAAAGGATGCATTTGAAGCCATCATTTTTGTTTTCATCACGGTAAAGAGACAAAAGATACTTATACTCAATCAAAACTAAACTTTATTTTCAGCATCCATTTGATGTAGGCGATCGTGTATTGATTGGTACAGAAAGTTGGATGGTTCATGAAGTTGGATTACTAGTGACTACTTTTCTGTAAGTTTTTGGGATTATAATTATGCGTAGTCATGACTAACCAACTGTCTAAAGTAAATGGGATGGCTCAGTTGTCTATGCTAAAAATTCAGTTTTATCCACTCAGTATATCATCAACGTCAGAAGATCTGGTAGAACAGGCGAAACGAACGGTAAGTGTGCTCTTGATCTCAGATGATCAGTGATTAATTGCGAATTGTAAGAGTAGAACTTCAAATTCATTTCAATACACCTACATGGAAGATAAAGAAGCTTATATCTCACATGCAAGAATGGTGTAACCAATTCCCCAAACATTATTCACCCAACTCTGCCTCTTGTAACATTCTGTCCTTTCAGAATCAAAACTTGATTAGTTTATCATTTTACTTTGAACATGCTCAAAATTGGCAAGACCCTGGCGGCCGTTGGCTGCGTCATAACAATTTCATGTTTGAGTTGAAGGAAGAATGTGAACGTCTAGGCATTGAATATACCTTACCTACCCAGCCACTGGAAAACAGAACATTGGATGCACCACTTGAATCATACAATATGGGATCAAAGTCCGCTTATGGGCTAGAAGGTATGAAGCAACGTAGACCCTATAATACAAACGATGAGGATGAAACAAGAGATCCTGGTGGAGGTGTTGGTTCGAGTGGTACTGGTGCTAATCACGGTCAGCCAGACGCAGGTGCAATGGCAGGTGCAGCTTCTACACTCATGTTTGCTGCCAACATGTAAACCATATACCATACACCTATTTATAATATGCATATGTATAATTTTATTATATTCACAAAAAAAAAAAGAATAATGTAATTAATAAGTACATCCTTTGTCTAATATACAAACGTATTAATTTGTGATAATGGTTAATTTCCCCCTTTGTATTGCCTGCACAAAGGCTTCTTCCATATCTAATTCGCCTTCCAGAGGCATATTCTTTCCAGTTGTTTCATCTTTATAGCACATTTTGACTTCGAATCCAATACGTTCAAAGACCTTGGATCGTAAATGATCTAGTGTACTGTCTACAGGCATTTTAATGGCAAAAATATCATCTTTATGGATAATCTTGACCTTGACATGATCTTCATTCGAATGACGTGTTGCTCTCGGGTCGTAGTCTAATTCTATATCACCTTCATGAATTCCAAAGAGTTGGTTTTGGACGAGATCGCATTCAGACAAATATTTTGGAAGACCGAGCAACTCCTTACAGTATCTGTTTAAATCCGCTTGTCTCTCAGCTATAAATAAACACCATTGTTAAACATGACACTGTTAAATACTTGTTCCTTTTTTTACCTGTCACTTTATCATCTACTTCCTTCAGAGGCCCTGGCATATAAGGTAAAATTCGTTCTCTATCGCCCTGCCCTGCTTCTACCGGGTAAGTTTTCAATAGATGAAGCTGAAAATCGTAAAAGTCTAGAAACCAATAAATAAACACAATTGTCCCCGGTATGATATCATACTTACCATCATAAAGACGATATAGGATCCGATGCATCCCACGAGCTGTTTTAGCGTACAGAACAAACCAATATTGGCCTCCTTCAAGAATAAACGAATTGATCTGAGCAAAGACGACGCTATCTTTCTTCTTTTGTTCAATCACGCCCAGCGGTATACTTGAAGCCTCATACAGCTGTGTCATCTTTTTCCAATCCTCTACAGGCGGTAGTTGTACTGACTCGATAGCCTGGCCGGTTTGTGCGTCTCTGACCTGTACAAACGAGACAGGAATCAGTCCAGGGCCGCCGAGTCTGCTGATGGGTTTAGCAACATACCAATCCTTTGTGGATTGTGCGATAATGACAATGGATTCGCCAGCCTGGGCGCTTAATTCATCGGGTCTCTCGGCCGTAAAGTCATACATGACAACTCCATAGACTCGTTTCTGTTTATGATCTTCAGTGCTACTTGTTGACGACGACGACAACGACATGGGTCTTGAACCAGTTCTCTCAATCACCTGGAAGTAAGAGACAGGCACAATACCTCTTGTGTCTGTTGCTGGGTTACTGGCTTCATACCATTCTGTATCATTTTCTCTTCCAATGACATGAAAAAAGTCGCCTTTACGAAATGACAGCTCATGTGGACCCTGAGCTCGGTAATCGTAGAGAGCTTTAATGATCTTTTTTGGTACGTCTAGTTGAGTAGGTAGCGTCGATATAGGTGTCGATATCTTGGTCTTTGTGAGTCGTTTTAAGCTTTTACTTCGCTTATGGCTGCTAGATAGAAACATTAGAAGAGAGAAAAAAAAATTAACTTTACTTCCGTTTTAGGATATGGCGGAGATTAATTTATATGAATTTAAATTCCATAGAGTGCTGTTTAGGTGTGAAAGGATAGTGTATAATTACCATAGAAACATATTTCTCCTTTTTTTTCTCTCTTTTTTTCTTTTCTCTAGTTTGTATAAAATATTACTTTTGGGATTTTTTTGTATTTTTAATCCATGCATAATAATAACAAGGATAGCATATTAGAAGGTATTTAAATTATAGATATGACTTTTATATGCATTAATAAATATTATTGCATACATTTAGAAAATTCATGGCAGATTGATAATAGGAACGATCCTATCTTTGGGCAGGATTCAATAGAAATTACAGCAGAAGATCTATACAATCAGTCTGATCTAACAGAACGTATTCAGGATGTAGAAAAGAGATTTAGTACTTCATCTATTACAACTTCGTATTTTTCAAGTGAGCGATTTGAATATCCTGCTGTATATAGAGTATTGTTTATGGGCGCAGCAGAACAAGAGGTCAAAAAGAGGTTACTAGAAAAGCTAGGGCAAGGATTTATCCATGTATTATTGGATAAACAGAGAGGTATATACGGCTGTTTTAGTATTGGCAAAACACTGACTTTTGTATAGTGTGGGGAGATCAACCGATTGCTCCATTTAGGGAGATTAAGCACAACCTTGTTCCATTAAACAACTACTACTTGGATCAAAGGATCCTGTCTGCGAGCTATGAAGAATATGGGGTCTCCATTATTGAAGCCGATTTCACTTGGACCTCGACCGCAGCTGAATGTTCAGATGATCCAGCGCAACTCTTGCTTCATTACGCTTGGAAGCAATGCCCTAATCCTTATGAGCTACCTTCTGCTCACCTCGGTAATGATCTGCCATCTGAATTTCAAGGCACCATGTGTCCTGACAAGACGCCAAATGGGATTGACCTTTGTGTTTATATCTATGACGACGAAAATGACGATAGAACAAGACGTGACATGCAATTGTTGTACAAGATTCGAAAATTAGGCATTTATGTTTTACCCCTGACCCTGTCCAGGTCAGAAGAGATCAAGAGTTACTTTGCAAAAGTTTTGACACAGTATCAGGTGCCCTGTCTCGATCTCAGTACCATCCAGATCGGACAACAACCTTCATTCCTTCAGTACAAGAAGGCAGCAACTGCAGACAGACTGAGTCGAATTCAAGAAATGGAATGTAGAGAACAGCTGAATCGACGACCGGCCGTAGCAAGTTATCAAATATTGGCAGTTGATCAGTTTTGTGCGATAGAGAATACGAGTATTTTGGAACTACTGAAGCGAACGAGAGATCGAGAAGTGGAAAGAGACGAGAATAAACGACAGGATTATAGATCGCTACTGCCATCAGCTACAAATAGTGTAGAGAGTGAAGAAGTACAAAAAGAGCCAGTCGATACAACGCGGTCAGACAGATACCCTATGATTAGCATGCTTATAATCGCAGTATTGGGCATCCTGTGCGCAGTTTATTTTGCTTCGTTCAATAAGGCACCAGAAATATGGACAGCACGATTTGAAATGATGAATGGGAGCGATCAGATCATTTTAATAACGAGAGATCCCACGGGACAATTGAGTTGGTCAAGGACTGATCCAATGATATGGCTGAATGAGCAAGAAAGGATACCCATTGAGAAGATGTCAACTGGATACTATCAACTTATTATAGATAATGTCAATAACTCACACATACTCACATTTCATGTAAATACAACCGATGAACATATTATTTATTTTGGTTCTAGAACTACATTTTATAATATTGCACCCACGGTAAACACAAGGACAGTCATCGAAGACGTCCGTACCAACGTAAATAGTCCACCAAGTCAACAAGAACAACAAAATCAACAGAGAGAAAAGTTCAATCTGAGATCATCATTCAAATATTATTTAAGTAATTTAAAAATTGTAATGAAAACTCGTTTTCTTAGTGAAGAAGATTGAGACAATAAATAATGATTTCTATAAAGTGATATCGCGTACAATTGATTCAACAGGTGCACCTTCATAAATGATACGATACACAGTTGTAAATAAGGGGAATTCATGTGTCATCTTGCGTGGTGAGAGGAATTCATACACTTCCTGCGCTGTTAATGTTCCTTGTAATTTCTGACCGTTCAATAATTCCTTTTCTAATACATCGATAGGTTTTCCCGTTCTAACAAATGCTTCGGCCACTTTTCTATTACGTCCTCCTGAGCATGTAGTGATCAAATCAGCCACACCACAGGATTCGAAAAAGGTACTGTCCTCTACGGTTCCAAAGAAGGTTTGACCAAATTTACGCATTTCCATTAACCCTAAACGGATGATGGCTGCCTTTGTATTACTTCCATATCTATCATCACACTAAGTTTCATACTCTTCACATGTTGGCCATCAACTTACCCTAATCCGTCAGAGATACCAGCACCGACTGCTACCACGTTTTTTAAAGCACCACACAGTTCAACGCCTACATAATCCCGAATGACATTCACCTTGAAATAGTCTGTGTTGAAAAGCTTGTGGAATAATTCACCATCCTCCTTATTTTGACATCCGATTGTTGTCTCACAGAATCGCTCCTTGGCTACCTCATCTGCAATGTTAGCTCCACTTAATGACGCGACATTGATGCCCAGCTTTCTGGAGATTTCTTCCGAGAACAGAGTGACCTTTTCAGGCAGAATTTCCAGACCCTTGATTAATGAGATAGCCCTGGCATTAGGAGCAATGTGTCCCTTCATCTCCTCACACACACCACGGACAAACTGATGAGGCAAGACAAAGACCAAGACCGAGGCGCTCTTGGTCGCTTCTACCAAGTTGGGTACAGCGCGAATGTTGGGAGGAAACTTGATGCCAGGCAAGTATTTAGGATTTTCACGTTCGCGGTTGATCACATCTGTCAGCTTTTCTCCCCTGTAGTTTTCTTCAAATACCCACTGTCTCACTTCTTCTTCAAACACATCTGGATATTTCAGGACATTTTCACCAATGATCTTTCCAACAGCAGAACCCCTATCATTATGTAAGCAAGCCTGTTGTATGTCTGACGTTTCCGTGGTTACCAGTTGCCAGAGCCAATAACGCAAACACTTTCTTTCTTTACCATCGTTCCTGTATAAAAATATCTTTTTGAAATAAAAGAGGAATAAAGAGCGGTAAATCGTATTTTTAAAGGCATTTTTATCATTGAAAAAAAAAAAGATGAAAAAAAAAAATTTAATTTTGTATTACATAAAGCACATTTGAAATTATCAACATGTGCAGACACATGAAAGCTCTAATCCACATGCTTTTTGAATCAAAGCATTGACCATCATCCCAGATAGACGTTCACTTTTGTTCATTACGTTACTTTAACAGCTTCAAACGGACGATCTATACCGTTCATCCGTCTTGTCTCTAATGTACCTTTTACTTTGTTTTCTGTAAATGTCGTATTTTTTGGGCAACATTGCACCAAGACATATGCGCGCCTAAAATAGTTTGAGAAACAATGGTTTGACAAACTTTACGATGAGATTGTCACTCTTTTGTTCATCAATAAAAACCATATGCCCTTCTTTCTGTGCATCCGTTTTTAGTATTTCTTGTTCCTCATCCATGCCTTATTTATGCTAATTCTGTTTGGCTGAATGTGAAAAGTATATAAACTACACATTATTTGGCAAAATCATGAACGATCTTGACAGTAATTGCTGATGTTGTGTACCCTTTTTGTAGAAAAAAGGGAGATCCGAATATGGAAGATCCTTCACACCCATTTTTTTCAACAATGCCCAGTTACTATAGCAATATATCTATTACTCTTTTCAGTTGATTTTGGCTGATAAATATTGAGTACGTCAAGATTTTGTACCTGATGACAAGAGCCGTCAAAAAAAATAATAATTGATTTCCCGATTTCCATTTTTTTCTCTTTCATTTTTTTTTTTTCCCTTTTCTTTCTTTTTATATTTTTCCCATTAGATAAAGCCCCCCTTATATCAAATGGCAAACTATATCCCAGAGAATAGTATTGAAGGGTTACGACGTTATAGATATAGCGGAATAGATAAATCACTCGTATCAAGATACGTGTTGAGTCGTTATTGGAACAACTTGATCAAACTATTCCCTCTCTGGATGGCGTAAGTTACATCATTGTCGCGCATATCACAATGCTTATTTTGTCCTAGTCCCAATATGATTACACTCTTGGGGTTGATGACTATTATGATCAATGTATTGACCTTGTTCTACTATACGACATCTCTGGGTGAATGTCCAAACTGGGTCTATTATACGTAAGTAGAGATATATGTCTTTGTGGGATATACTAATAAGAGGGAGCACACAGGTTTGGCATCGGCCTCTTCATTTATCAATCATTTGATGCTATCGATGGCAAACAAGCTAGACGTACAGGTACTTCTGGTCCATTAGGTGAACTCTTTGATCATAGTAAGTGAAAAATATAAACGATAAGGGATATGATTTACATCTTTAAAGGCTGTGATGCTATCAACACAAGCTTGGGTGTGCTCACTTGGGCATCAGCTACTTATCTCGGCCAAAGCTGGTGGACAGTCGCATCACTTACAGCTAGTCTTGCCAACTTTTATCTATCGACATGGGAAGAGTATCACACGGGCAGTTTGTATCTGGGCTACTTTAGCGGTCCTATCGAAGGTGTCTTGATGCTCTGTGCCATCCATATGATCTCGGGTTACTTTGGTCCCGCTATTTGGATGTTGAGAGTCAGTGAAGCGCTGCCTAGAGTCGATTTCACACATGGACCAAAACTGCTTCAAGTGATAGGATATCTTCAATTGAATCACGTCTTGATCGTCATTGGTGCTTTTGTTCTACTCTTTAATATCCTTTCAGCGTAAGTATTTTTATTGGGATGGAGGACAAAAACTTATATGTATTAGTGTCTATAACGTCATCTCTGTCAAGATCTGGCCAACAGAGACGTCCCACAAGAACCGCTCGATCCTTGAAGCTCTCTTGGGCTTGTTCCCCTTTATCAACATGTGTATTTGGTCCTATATGTGGCTCACGACTTGGCCTGACCTCGTCACAGATCATCTTGCCTTCTTCATCCCCTTTATTGGCCTGCTCTTTGGTCATCAGGTCGGTCTGATGATCACAGCCCATGTTGCCAAATTAAGTTTCCCCAACGTCAATCTTCCTGTCAGCTTGATCTTGGTCTCTGGTTACTTTTTGGCCAAATTTGAAGATTCTATAGAAAAGTAAGTGTAAAACATAAAAAAGAGACAACGGACTCATACTCTATTAGTGCATTGTATATCATCTTGGATCATCGTTTGATCATCAAGGTATATCTATTCGTTGCTGCTCTACAATACTATCATTTCGCAAGTAATGTCATCAATCAGATCTGTACATACTTAGACATTGGTTGCTTGTACATTAAAAGAAGAAAGATAAATTAATAAAAACTTTTTTTTATTCTGCTTAAAAATCTGGCATGTCATCATCCTCATCTAAATCTCCTTCTGCAATCTCTTGTGCCAATTCTCTCTCCCTTTCTCTTGCTTCCTCAGCGCTAGCCAACTCCTTACGATGAGCATCCATAGGGAAACGCATGGCCTTGACTGCTTCATTATGAAGGTTCAAGCAAAAGTTGATGCGTTGGTGGTAGGCGTTCTGAGGCTCGTTCGTACCGTAAATGTCTACGATCTCTCTACTCTTCATAAATCCTCGAGCATGGTCTAAGGAGGCATCAATCACACCGTCACGAATGGCCTTGGACACAATGAATTCGGCATCTTCTTCGCTATCGAGATGAAGCTTGATACAGATGTCGCGAAGTGAAATCTTGGAATACGAGAGACTGATCATGCGAATGCCGGTCTTGATCACGTTGTGACGTAAACGAAGAATGAGCGTATATGTCTTGTCCTTTTTGAAAATCGCGTCGTATTGTCCTAAGCCTTCTTGAAACTTGGCAAGATCACCAACACGAACGGCTACGGGAAGCATGAGTTTATCGACATTCTAAGAGATTTTTTTTTTTTACCTTGAGTAATGGCTAAGTAAGGAGCAAGTGCTTTTTTTAAAATGGGTTGTCTGAAGAGAGATCGTTCAGGGATTTCACCCATCAAGAGCTGAACAACAATAAAGAACTTGTAGACTGTCTGCTGGAATCCCGCTGTGATGTTATTCTGAGGTGCTTTTCGAATAGCCTGTGTCAGGTAGGTATGAGCAGCTGTATAATCCAATTGAAGTGCCTTGAGTCGTCCAACATAGTAAGCATAACGTGCTGCTTGGTTATTACCAGCCTTCTCAGGGAAGACAGTCTTGGATACAAGCTTGTCAGCCTGGTCATACAAGTTGTGATAAAAGTAGTTGCGAAGTAATAAGTTGAGTAGCGTAGCTTGCGATTCGACATCGTGTCTCAAGGTAGCCGTTCGATGTGCGGCTAATTGGATACTATCAATGTGTGTTATTTTTTATGCGTCTATGGGATCATTTGAGCTCTCTCTCTCTTACGGTCGAATTTCAGCAAGTCTATTTGTTAATTCATGGAAACGCGCATGATAAAAGTAGATACGGGCAGCGAGTTGATCCATTGTTCGACGGTTCATGGATACTATGCGTTCCACTGCTTTCGTAGATAATTCGATACCCTATAGACATGTTTATTATTTTTACTTTATATATATATCTCTCTTACTTGTTCAATTTCGTTCTTATCCAAAAGGAAAATCAAGACATTCAAGTGAATGTACATATCAACTTCAGGCAATACACTGGGTCTTTCTTCTTCGGTTGCAGAAGCTTTATCACTCTATTAAAACATAAGCCAGGGTTTTCCATGAGCTTTTTTTGTCGTTTACCTCATTCAAGTATCTTAGTAATTCGTTCTTGACATCTTGGTCATCTATGAATAGAATTAGTCAACATACACCATCTTTCAAAGTGAACTTACTGGGACCGTAATATTCAGAAATAACTTGACCAAGTATTGCAGAAGTTAAACGACGGCGAATAGAAGGAAGTGTTCTCAGTACACGAGTGGTGAATCGAGCCTCGATAGTTTCTACTGAACGCTCTAATAAAGAGAAATTGCGCTTGATGTCTACATTCCAATGTTAGAAATAAAGTATTTCTATATAAATTATAGTTACCTGTAATAGTTTCTTTTGCAATTCGCTTTTGCTTAGTTTCTTCATCTTCTTGAACAATGTCCATTGCTTCCACTTGATCTTTCTTGTCTACTTGTTGGCTCATGACGTTTACCTTTAAAAAATAAAAAAAGAAAGAGGGTTGCGCGTCCCTTTAGTCATTACGTGTGATTGTTGAATGTCCGACACTCTTTTTTTCTTGGGACACACAATTTTTTTTTTTTTAGGTATGCCTTCAGCACAAGATGATACTTATTGTAAAGCATGCAAGAAGAAGTTTAATAATGCAGCAACATTTAAGAACCACTTAAATAGTGCAAAGCATATAGCCAATGAAAAGAAATTTAAATCAAAACCTCAACAACCAAAACAACAGGCCAAGCAGACACCCATTCAAGGTAAAAAAAAATAGAAAAGATATAAGTTGTTTATGTAATAAAACAGGATTTAGAAATAGAGAATTTACTCCAATCGTCTGATCTATGGAGTCTTTTTCAAGCCTTGATCCTATGTATAGAAATAGGTATACTGCCCATTATTGTATTGAAAACAACAAACAAACTCTCTATATAGATGACATCGTTCGAGGAAGACCGATCTATTCAACACTCTTGAACCACAAAAACTATCTGGATGTTCGATTACTGTGTAATCTATATGAAGAACGACTTTGGCTGAAGGAACAACCGTATTTAAAAGATGATCTTGCGTTCATCCAACTCGCTCTGAGCACAGACTATAAAGATGAACCCATTTTGATGTATGCACAAAAGGAAGAGAGAATGTTGAACAGAATTCAATGTTTATTAAAATGTAATTAATATATTATTTTGTATGCTAGATTTTTGGTTGAGAAAGATGATGCGTGTGTTGTTGCAGTTTATAGAGTATACAGAGAGTTCTATTGAGATTGGCCAATCCTTGTTCTAGCTGCAGGGCACGATAGACCTTGAGAAGCGAGTGCGTGGCAAATTCGAGCATCTGGGTTCTGTGAGCATGCATCAATTGAGCATTATTGAGCATGTTTGAGTAATAATCAAGGCCAACCTGGGCAAAATGATCAGCAAGTCTAGACACTGAGGTAGACCAGATATTTCTTGGTTTTTTATGCTTCAAGATCTGTGGCCAATCCCAACCAGCGGGTTCAAACTGAGGTTGAGCCATATTGAACAAGATGGTCTCTTGTTCATCGACCAAAACAACAGACTTGCGACGTTCGAGAAAGGAGGAACCAGCCTCTGGATCGATGGGTAGACTTGTGGGATAATTGAGAATGACTGAACGAGGACGATGATGATAGACCTGACGCACGAATTGCTGGATATCTGCAATGACATCGCCTTCTTCAGGCTGATCAAAGACTCTGTGATAGTTACCAGCCATTCGAGCAAGGTTCTGAGCGGCATTTTCCTGAAACACCTGACTGAAATCATGAGCAACGTGGTTGAGCAGAGCCTTTCTTGTCTCGTCCGACACATGAGATTCAAACACGATGTAGTATTTACCGATCGAGCTAAAACCAAGTCCGAGAGCAGTCAAATGCGATCGTGTTACCTTGATAACGCGGTATTCGTTGGAGGCAGACAGAATGGAGAGCACAATATTTTCGACATCTCGTCTACGATGCTTCCAGTCGTTTCGAAGGCCCTTGAGAGCCGCTAGCAGGTCCGTTAAATCATCATGTGCTTGTCCGTACATCTCGAGTCGTGCACTGAGGGAAGCAATCTGGTCAAAGTACTGAATGCGCTCTGAATCATCAGACAAGGTCCGTATAGACTGCTGATCCAGTTGATGTTTGTATCTATCACGCAAGGTGTGAACCCAGTCGATCAAATTGTGCCAATCATTTGCATGCACAGGCAGTTGTTGATGGTCAATCACAGCCTTTGCCATTCTGATAGCTTGATGTTGTTCTGACTTGTTGAGTAAACCTAGTTTTTGACAGAGTTCTATTTGTTCATGAGAGCATATGATTTGAAAGGATTCAATGAGCGAAGAATGAAGATCGTCTGGATAGGGTGAATTATGAATGTCATGACTTGGTGAAGTAGGTATAGGTGTCATGGTGGATATCATTTTTATATTAATAAATTAAATATATTTACACAAAAGAGAGAGAGAGAGAAAGAGAAGGGTTAGAAAAAGAAAAAGAAAAAGAAGAAGGAAAAGGACCAAGAACTAGTTTTATAGTCAAAAAGAGAGTTGCATTACAGCGTGCTACACCTTGTGAAATGTAGTAATGATATATATGAGATAGAGTGTAAAAGATATGAAATGGCATTCCACACACACAAGTACACATTTATACATGTAAGCATGCATCCCCTTTATCTTCTCCTTTTTTTTACATATAAAACTGTATATATAAAAGAATTTTTTGCTTTATCTTTATTATTTACACTTTATACTTTCATGATCCACGTTGTTCAAAAAAGCAACTAAGCCTTTACGCGTGCACACACACACACGTTATATTGAATACTTGAGAATTAACATTAAAACAAAGGGAATAAAAAGAGAGAGAGTGAGAAAGAGAGAGAGTGAGTGAGAAACTTGAGATTCTTGATAATTAAATAAACACATAGAGAAAGAAAGAAGGAAAGAAAGACCTGTATTGAACCCTTTGTTAATTCTATTGGCTTTACTTTTGTGGTCTGATTATTTCATACAGTGTACAACGCAATGATCGAATTGACATTGTGTAAGGCAAACTTTAATATCAGCAGCCAATGTGGTTTTAAACCTGTTCATGGTTGCGCATTGCTTTTAGTTCCAATTTTTCATTCTCTTTGCTTGTAATTTATTAATGTGTGGGTCTGCTGCTCTTTCTTTCATGGTAATTTCATGTGATCATATTGGTTTGTAAAACGTCTTTCTGGCTTAATATCATCTAATAAACGTACTGACAGCTGTGAATGCACCCTTTCTGTCAGGGTCCACACACAAGGGAAAAGGAAATATGTGCTTGTGGTTCACAATGACATCTTTTAACTTGTCTTTAAATGGCTTATTAAATTGTTGACAAGACTGTCATTGTTGGTACACTTTTCAGTTTTACAAAACCAGGAGAAATTAATAAAAACGTGTTCACCTCCTGAAATTGAGTTTCTTAAAATTGAAGACTTGTCATTTAAGAGGGCATTCGTATCCTCTTGGAACAGAGTATCTTTAAGATAAACAAGAACAAGAGAGAAGTGTCCAATGAAAAAAAAAAAGAAAGAAAGAAAGAAAAAGCTCTGTACAAGTCTTTAACAAGTCTTGTTCATATTTCTTAGAGACTGGAATGCAGGCACTAAATCTACAAAAAAGTCAAGAAGAAGAGTCCGATGCGTCATTATCGGGCTGGTGCTCTAAAAGATCATTCTTTATTCGCCGGACATCACATATTAAAGTTTAGGTCATGATTTCTTTAAATGTTAATTCGAAAAGGAGTTAAAAAGAAAGGAAAAAAAAGGGGGGTATTTTATTTTACAATTTATACACAAATTATTTTCTTAATAATCGAGTTGATCTCTTTTCTAATCGTTTCACGGATGCTTCTGCTAATTCTCTCTTCTTTTTCTCTTCTTTGAGTAAACTTTCTAATTTCTCAAGTCTATCAGCCGATCGTTGTTGCTGTATCTTTAGTGACTCATGCAGCATGTGAACGAGCTGCACCATGCCTGCCATCGGTGTACGTTCACCCGTACTCGCCATGGCTGTCATTCCAATCTTTGATTCTATATAATGTTGAGGATGCTTATTCTGATATTCTTTCCACATGGATTGAATACGTGACGCTGTCTCAGTCACTGCACGCTCTTGAGGAACATGCTTCTTTTGTAATAGACGTCTGGGCACATAATGTTTCTTGCACGTATCATCGGGTGGTTGAAGTGATGTATTTTGTATACTGCTTGCCCATCGTTTGCCTGCATCACTCTTGAACTGAATCTTGTTACTTCCAATCGAAGGTGTGGGTGAAGGTCGTACGACATGTTGTTGCACTTTTGCTACTTTTTGTATCTGTCTCGAGTGTCTTTCGACATCACTCATCCAATCCATCACAGCACGATCCTTGTCCGTAGGTTCCTTCTTGGCAAACCATTCTTGAAGGGCATCTTGATCATGTAATGTCTGCTTTCTTTCTTGGTTCGGTTGTAATCTTTCAGAGACAGCCAATTTCTTTAGCAGTTTCGATCTTGGCGGAAATTCATAATGCTGTTGTTCGGGTGTCAGTGTCTGAGGAACAATAATTTCCTGTCCCCCGTCAGGATAACGTTTGACGACAGCCTGATGATCATATTAATAAATTATAAATATAGATTTATAAATTTTTACCTTTTTGCCCCACATCATAAGGGATCGATTTCTACGTTGAAGCACTTGTGCCATTGCATTTGCTGCTCTTGCTGCAATTCTCTTTTGCTGTTCTTCATCTAGGTCCGTGCGTGTTGTATTCTCCTTTTTTGCCAGTTCATGCATTTAATTTAATACAAATAAAAAAATTGTTGGGGTCCTTTTTTGCTTCTTTTTTTTGCTCTTTCTCACTCAATAAAAATGTTATATAAACACATGTAATATGTTACAAATAATATGTATAAACAAAGGGGGTTATGTATATGTATGTATGTGAGATGTATGTACGTGAATAGGGTATCTATATATTATATTGTATTGTGTGTGTGTGTGTGTGTGGTATAAATATATATACTATAAATATATATATATGTATATGGTAAGTATGTAGTGGATATATGTATAAAAGAAAAAAGAAAAAAAAAAGAAAAAAAGAGTGTATAATGTAATCAAAAGAGAAAGGAAAAGGAAGGAGAAGAATGAAGGCAAACAAGTACAAAGAAAGAGAAAGAAGAGAAGAGAAGAGAGAAAAGGAGAAAAATAACTGAACTTTTTAGTAAATGTTGACAATCCATGTTTATATGAGTTACACACAAAAGTTCACATGAGGTTTGTTTGTGCATTAAACACCAAGTTATTCATCGTGTAATCTTGGTTGAGGCACTCTTCTTTTTGTAGAATGATGTAAGGGCCCTTTTTGGAGGTTGTAACATTGGATACATCATGAACCCTTCCCTCCTTTTCCAAGCTTTATATGGTTAAAACCCAGACTATGGCCAGATAGAAACAAGCAGTGCCTTTACTTAAATAGTTCCCAGTCCTTTTTGGAAAAAGATATAGAATGATGAGCCCCCTCTTCTTCTTCTTTTGAATCATTACCGCAGCAATAAGCCCTTTTTTCTTTTTTTAGCCTGTCAAAAAGCTTTCATAATCGACGTAGTTCTGATCATAACGCGCATACGTGTTGCAACGTGGGCCGTGGACTGCGTTGAAATAAACAAGGGCATGTTAACACATCGAATTGCTCCGAAACAAATAACTTATAGATACAGTAACTGGATACAATATCTTTCTATTGGCTCTTTTTTATTATTTTTTCTGTAGCTTAGCTGTGATGCATATTACACTTTTTTTTTGCCCCGAGGTACGCGCGGACGCACGCGCGCTGACTTTTTCCGCGAAAAAGATGTTACCAAAACAAACAAGCAGTAGAAAAAAAGGATTTATTCTTGGTTTTTTGCTAGAGAATGCTGCACTTGATAATCATCCGAAAATGGATTAAATGCACTATTATATTATTAACCCTATGCTTTTATAAAAACTATTTTTAAACTACCTTGGTTGCATAGAAGAAGAAGAGGTAGATGACTCAACCTAGAATTAAGTTTAAATTTTTTATTTTTTCTAATATGCCCCCACCCCTTCTACTCTCTCTTTTTTTTAACCCCTTTCCATGGAGTTTTATTTATATTACCTGTGTCGTGCGATGGTTTGTTTGAGAATCAACCATGGCTCGATGAACCATTTGTTGTTCAAGCATAGACTCATATGTCTTAAAGCAATGATCCAATTCATAAAAGGTATTCAACATATCCGCTAAAGACACATAGTGTGAGTTGGATGTATAGTTTATATATTCATTACCATTTAAATCAGGATCTTGACATGTTTCTAATTGGGCCTTGAGCGCTGTTTGTGCGTGTTTACATTTTGCATAGAATTCCTAAAATTGATGTAAACAAACTGACGTACTTTTCTCTATTACTTACTTGTATCAACGTGTTTTTCGAAATATCCTCTTTTGTAGGATCCGTAAATGATAAGGTTTGTGATAGTACCTGTGCACTATTCTTGGCTACTTCGATCATTTCTCGTATATTCACCTAATAGAAATTAATGGTGCCACTAAATATATTAACCTCCTTGTTACCTCTGGTTGCTCTAATGACTGTCGAATGCCTCGTCTTGGCATCGTCGCCTGCTTCACAATTTCCTCCTGTGCCTTGACCAATGCTTCTGTTTTAGATACTCCTTGATATCGCACGATCCAACCGTCCAGGGATTCTGCTAATTTAACCATCACAGCAGGATCAATAGACTAAGAAAGATGTCAATATCCCCAATACAATGATCATTCGTATATATATATACCTTTGAACTCGCAAGTCGACAGAGATCCTCTCCAAACGATTTAGCCGTCACCTCAGCTTGCATTGTTCTCCAGTCATTTTCAATTAATGCATTCATTATCTTTTAAGAGAAATAAACAACATGGAACTTTGCAAGTTGATAACTTACTTCTAATGATGTCATTTGTATCCTTGGATTGTTATCCATCATCTTCTTTTGTAATAACTTTCTTGCTTCTTTGGCTCCTGACTTGTTTTGACTCACAAGTTTGCAGATCTCAAAGACACTTGTCCAATCGACCGTCTCCTGATTCACCGTTTGTTCTAAAGTAAATGAGTTTCTTGTCACTCTCTCTTCTTTTTTTTCCGAATTACCAATCTTTGACGTGATTTCACTCGAGCTTTTTTTAGAGAATAAAAACATTATATTATTATAGAAAAAAAAAGGGGAAAAGAAAAAAGAGAGGGAACGAGGTATCACATGCATATTTTTATTATTAAGGGTACACACATATTATGCATAGTAAGAAGGTGAGATAAGCATATCACTCAAGACAGACAATTGATCTTCACTAAATTTTGTCATATCCTCATGCCAAGTATCTGAATGAGTACGTCTAAAATCTGAAAAGGTCTTTCTGACGGTCGCCTATATATATATATATATAAGATTAAACTCGCATCAATACACCTGTATTTCAGCAGCTGGATCTGAAATGCAGTCTGCCAACTCGATAAGCACCGAAGGCATCCACTCTGGAACTTCATAGGGGAACGCATTTATTAAGCACGACAGCCCAAGGACACCCGCATGTTTCTGTAGCACGGCTTCGGCAAAACCAGCAGGCTCCACGTTTTTGCCCGTCACAGGATCTCGCTTGCGTCGAGGTATCTTGACTTGTATCTTGGTCTCAAACTGATGTCGAAGCGTTTGAATAGCGTCTCGTTGTGAACATCGGACGAGCCCACCCAGCGTGACGGATGCGAGCTGCCGTACCTCGATCTGTGAGTCCAAGAGCATTCGACTGATGACTTGCATGATACGCAGTAACTGCTCGCTGGACATCGCAAACAGATGCTTAAAGAAAAACACTTGGAGCACAGGTAGTACTCGAATACGGATATGCCAGCTTGTGGACGTGGTCAAGATCGTCAGGAACTGGTCAATAAGAGTGGGTAGCATACTGGGAGGATACGACATTTGCGCAATCAGGTTTAATACTCGAGTTGCCATCACTTGTAAGTCTTGATCGTCATTCATCTCTTGCATGATGAATAGTTTGGGCAAAAATGGAATGACGTAAGGCAATGTGCCTGCGAGTCTCCAGTGTGTAAGCGCTTCGTGCAGCCAGCATAGAACTAATGACGACATTAGGCAACCTGTTTTAGTCTTGTTTTTAATCATCTTTACCTGTTTTGCTTGCATGCGCATAATCGCTCGACGCCGTGTTGCCGTCGATCTCTTTGAACCACTGATCTAGCCTTTGAATGATGTATGTCACTCTTGTTTGCTGCTCAGCATTCAGCTCAGCAGCCACGTGGCCAACACCGTCTCCGGCTTTGGCATGCGTCCTCAACAACGAGTCCACTGAAGATACGCCAGGGACCCACTCGAGTTGAAGGAATTCATAAATGTTGCCGCCAATTACTTCTCTCACCTGCTTATACGGATGCTGCAGATTACTGAGGTGTGTACGAAGTAATCGATCCACCAGGGTCAGTCCACGCCACTGCAGTTTGACCACCATAGCGCGAATCAGCAACAACTTACGGGCTTCATTAAATGCTGCATCAGAGGTTGGATCGAGTTCAGACGAAAGGAGAAGATCAATGAGCGGCCGAATGCGTCGCGGATCTCGACGGGCCGCACAATACTTGACAAAGCTTTCCCAGTACGTCAGCGAGTCAGGCGTAATGCTCAAAAAGGCCCTTTGCAACAAGGGCAACAACCATTCCCATAGGCGCGCCAATTTGCTTGGGTTCCAATGCTTTGTGCCTCGAACAAGGCCCCCAAGGATCTCTGAGGCGGCTCGCTGGGCGTTCTTTTGATCACTGGATGCACACAGACTCTCGATGTATGGTCTGGCCGCTTCAAGGGGTAGGTCTTGATACATTTGGAAAATGCTGCTAAACAGTCGGGCATGTGAATCGTTGAAGCAGTCTTCGTTCTTTTGGTGCACTTCTTCAGACAGATATTTGCTCATCTTGTCCCAGTACTCTGGGCTCGTGAACGCTTCACCAAATGTAGTGTACGCTTCCACTGAATCTGGCTCGATCGCTTCGAATAGGCTCTCATGTGCATTCACCTTGTATGCTGTGTAAGATGTCGGCCATACGTACCAGCCCAGGACGGTATCGTCCACCAAGACACTAATTTCAATCATGTAAGCCATCTACTTATCTTTTTATATAATACATACCTCTTATTCACATCGATAGGCTCAAAGGACGCTTGTAGTAACTGTTGGCTGAAATTATGCTCACCTTCTGGTACCTGAACCTCTATCTTTAGAGGGTTACGTAATGCTTTCTTGGTAATGAGTAGGTCAGGATTTCCTGATGCCAAGGTTCTTTGCTTGATATACAACAATAACTGAGTCGTCGTGCTTACGCCGATACGTCGCATGGTCGGAAGTTCCGAAAGCGTTGCTTCATTAGCAAATCTTGCAAGTGCAGCTGTAGGCTTGACGTCCGCCCGTAGTAACACTTCGATAAAATTAGCAGCCATGGTAGCAAATCGCCAATGAACATGTGAGTCTTGCAAAAAGCCAAGCAAGTGATCGATCAGACCAGTATAAGCCGATACCTGGAACGTGGAGCGTGAGTCCACCTTGGCCTCCAGCTGAGCCACTTTTGACTCATCCGTGATAGAATGAATCGATTCAAGGATCGGTGTGATGTCGCGTGGAGTCAGCACACGGAAGGAGAGAGAATGTACATTTGAGATGTACTCCATAAATACCTTGCGAATCAGTTCTTGGATCGTCAGTTTATCTTGGTGCTGTGCGTGGCAGATGGACATGATAAATCCAGGAATGAACTTCCAGTCTCGAAGGCAAGGTAACAACATAGACTTGTGCGTAAAGAGGTAGAGAGCACCCTTCATGCGGTCGGCCGTCGTTCCTGGCCGAAGTGCGTCCAGTAGGATAGGAAGGACAAGACTCTTGGCGCCTCTAAAACACCGTGCTGTTGCTGAAAGTGCTACCTGACTAGGCTTTCGGATATCTGCATATGAACTCAAGGAGAAGTCGAGCAGGTCATACAAGATCGCGTCATGATGTGGTGTTCTCAGCCGTCCCATGACGTTGAGCCTCAATCGCAGCAAATGATGATTGTAAGCTCTTCTGATCAAGATATTACGTGGATACTCTTTCTTACACACGGGGATCTTAACCAAGTTCTTGGCATAGCTATAGCCGGCCTTACTACGTTCAAACTGTGATTTTTCTGCTCCTCGTTCCGACAGATACGCACGAGCTATTTTTATCCAAATCTTGATACTCTCCACATCATCCTCTCTCTTGGTCTTAAAAAAGCCGGCAAGGGCGTGAATCAACTCGCCAGCAGATTTTCGGAATTGTCTAGCCTGCTTTGTTCGGGGGTCCTGAGGATCTGTAAATGCATAGCCCACTTCGAGTCGTTTAGCGATATACTGCTGGTGATCCTCATCATCGTCATCATCACAATTCATATCGTCTGGCTCCATTTCAATCGTCTCTTCTTCGTCCAAACCATCATCTGCGACCATGGTTGCACTGCCCATCAGACAATTTCGCATCACAGCCAACAGACGGCAAAGCTCGTTACTCTGCTCGTGCGTATTCATCTCTGGTGCGGTCTTTATGATCTCTGACAGTCGTTCAACGGTCGGTGTCCAACAGTGAAAGAGGTACTCTAGTGCAAAATCTTTCTCGGCTTCCGAAGGCACATGCCACTGTATATCAAGACAGGCAGGATCTCCCGATTGACCCCAGGTCTCATGTGCGTGCATGTCCATAAACTCTGAGTCGTTCCACTGCGAAGGCTTCAGGCTCTTGAACTCGGTTGGGTAAAGTTGCAGCAGGGTGAACAATACGTTGCGGATCAGTTTGCCGGTCCACATGATGCCACGGCGACTGCGGCAATGTTGCAGCATCAGGTCAGTCACTTGGATCAGTTCTTGTTTGTAGCTCAAGACCTCAGGTCCTAAATTAGAAACCACTGAAAATAGAATATTCTGGTACCAGTGCAACGTCGAGTCAGATTGTACAAGGTTGGACGATGCAGCATGGCTCACGGTCGATGACGCACCGTGCTCTAGTTCCGTCCTGATCTGATCGATGCACAGCGGAATCAGTGCCTTGGCTGCCTTCTTTGGATTCAAGCTCGATGTCAGGTCGCACAATAACCCCACGGCTCGAGTCGCATTGGGTAGCACCCTGTCATTCACAAACTCGACGATCAGACGTAGCGCCAAATCGTACAACTGATCAGATAATTGGCCAAACACCACGTCACAGGTATGAAGCACAATCTGAGTAAGCCCTGATTCCATCGTATGAAGGGCACTGCTGCTACCCTGCTTCTTTCTATTCTCTTGTGGCAAATTCTCAAAGATGGTAAATACACGATTCATAAACTTGGCCAACCACTCCTCAAACTGCGCTGTCGATGTCTTGATGAGATAATCTTCAGTCTCCTTTGAAAATTCCCCAAATGGGTTCTCAATATCCTCTTGATCTGATGGTGAAAAGTCGCCTAGTTGATGCGTCATATCTCGAATAGGCACTGTCATGAGTGCGCTGGATATAAACATGAGCGAAGAGAGTGCCTTGATGGGGTCATTCATGTCAATACCTGGAATAGCTAGATGTAAGAGAGGCAGCAGGTGTTTACCGCCTGCGGGGTACACTTGGCGAGAGAACAAGGGTCGAGCGACATCAATCAGGATACAAAGTGCGCTTGTCGTTCGATGTGTCTCTGTGAGTGTTTCGAGTGATGGATAGATGCGTTCCAAAAGGCCAGGGATAATCAGCGATGGTTCCAGCCATGCAAGAAATCGAAGTGAAGCGATACTGGCCGATAGCACAAACTGATCTTTACCAAACATACTGAGATAAATGACGGGTCGTAAGATCAACACAAACTGCTTCTTCAACTCTACCGTCAATCGTCTTTCCTGAGGTGTCTCGCAATCCTCTTCTTGTTCCTCTCTCCATCGCTTCAGAAACTCATGTGACAGGTGTCGAGCGAACTGTGTTAGCAGGTAGGCCCACGATCCATGGTTAGATGGGTGATAATAAAGTTCTGTTGCTTGAATAAGTTCTGATAGTAATGACAGTGTATAGCTGCTGTTGCTTTCGTCTGGTATGATGGTATATACAATGAAACGAGCCAATGCTTTGAATTTTTCCTACTTGTTTTTTAGACACACTTTATTGTTTTTTTTTTGGGAGGTTTACACTTACAGGCTTCTTTCGAAGAAGTAATGCACTTCCTGCTCTTGCATCCACTCTAATACCTGCTGATCCATAACCAGTTGTAGTCCCTCCTGATGCACCTCCGGCTGAACTTGATCCGTCACTACGTGTGCCGACGGGTAAATTCATCATCTTCAGCCCGGTGGTGAATATCATTTGTATCTGCTGTTTTGTAAATAATCCCACTTCTGATGTACCATAATTTAAATTTGATTCTGCAATACGAGACATGAGATGAGTGAATTGTGCATCATACGCAGCTGAACATGTCAGTGTAGACCAGAGCGAAAATAAGGTGGGCAGATAAATATCTGGACTGATCGACTGTCTTGGCTGGTACTCGACAGGTAAGAATAAGGTGAGATATCCTTGAGCTAAGAGAGCGTCTGCTACTGAATGCATACTGAATTTAGGAAGGAATTCGGCTAGAATCTCTTTGGCTGCGTTTGGTGAAAAGTATCGCTGTGCTAATTCTGCCAGTTTTAATACAGAAGACATCATTTTCCTATTGAAACATGTATAAGTTGTGTTGCATGATAAAGAATGCACGTTATTACGATTCGCTTATGAGTGTCTTTTCTCTTGTCTTTGGAAAGAGTGTTTCATGTATCAGCTCATAGAGTGGTCGCCAATCCAATTGTAAATCCTCTGGTTCTAACTTCTTTTTGTTTCTATTTGCTAGAAATAAGTATAACGAGATGCTAGATATAATATGAATCTAACCTGATGAGTCGAACGCAATTCGTTGACCATAATTCAATAAGAGCTGGATCCATGCCTGGCATAATTGTCATTTCATACAACAGTTTAGCCAGTCTTGCTCTTGTCTGTTTCGGTAAGGCATGTTTCATATCCAAATAACTTTTAAAATGCTTAGTTTGATGTACATACAACTGTATTTTTTTTTTTTACCTTGTCAGTCGTCTAACCCAAGCAACTGCGCCAGGAGCAAAATCCTTTGCCTTGACACATATAACCAAATTTTCGCATATTTCCTTTAACCATTCTTCTGCCTCTCCACCCAATAGACTTGCATAAGGTAAACTTTGTGAATAATGCATGGTGTGATGTTGATCATCTTCAATAACAGAAGACGGTATCATTTTTTATAGTAATAATAAAAAAAGAAAAAAAGAAAAAGAAAAAAAAAGAGGGAAATGACGCGTCCCCCTTCTCTGTCTTGTATCTCCCCCAAAAATATTTTTATGCAAGTTTGAATGGAAAGTATTACGTAATAAGCATCCAACCATTGACATATAAACATTGATATGCCTTAAATCATTCTAAGTATACATATATTTTTTGATTCTCCTAAAAAGAAAAAAAAAAAAGAGGGTTCCCCCAAGCTAACATTCTGTTACATTTTTTTCCCTTTTTTTTTATTTTTATTCATATTTAAACAGAATGCAGACAATTAAATGTGTTGTCGTTGGTGATGGTGCAGTTGGTAAAGTGAGTATCTTCTTATTCTTTCTTGTCAGTGTATATAATACTATATAGACTTGTCTTTTAATATCATATACAACAAACAAGTTTCCTTCAGAATATGTTCCTACTGTAAGTTGAATTAGTAATGTACAATAACCTCCAAGCTAATAAGATTAGGTATTTGATAACTATGCTGTCACTGTCATGATTGGTAGATATATATGAAATAAAAATGCAAATAGATACTCACATGTTTATATAGGAGAGGAACCATACACACTTGGATTATTTGATACAGCAGGTCAGGAGGACTATGACCGTCTTCGTCCACTTTCATATCCTCAAACTGACGTCTTCCTCGTCTGTTTCTCAGTCACTTCACCAGCATCATTTGAAAATGTCAGAGAGAAGTGGTTTCCTGAAGTTCACCATCACTGCCCTGGTGTACCTTGCCTGATCGTTGGTACACAAGTCGATTTACGTGATGATCCTGCTGTTATTGAAAAATTAGCTAGACAGAGACAACGACCTATCAGTTATGAAGCAGGCGAAAGGTTGGCTAAAGATTTAGGGGCAGTCAAATACGTCGAGTGTTCAGCTCTCACTCAGAAAGGTTTAAAGAATGTTTTTGATGAAGCTATTGTCGCAGCATTAGAACCTCCAGTTTCAAAAAAACCCAAAAAATGCTTCCTTTTGTAATACCCCTCGATCCAACCCTTTCCTCCCCTTTCTTTCTCCTCTTTTTTTTTTCTTTATTTTAATAAGTAATATAATGAATCATTTTGTTTTTAAAGGAAATATTGGCTGCCCGGACCAGCCGTTAATGTGTTTTCACCTTGTATGTCATTTTCCAGGAATATCTTATAGTCGCTCGGCATGATCTTTCTATTTTCTTCAGGCACTTCAAGGATAGCTGCCTTATTACCACATCGATAACAATAGTTGGGTGCTGACCAAAGTGTCACTAGATTTTTCTCTAAGAATGGATAGTTGTAACCTTCGTCCACTAACTGATGACTTCGCACTATCAAGTCTATTTTATTATTGTGACAAAACTAAGTATATACAAGGTTGAGTATTGTGTTTGTGTATATATAAAACTTTCTTACTGCCGTCGTAGGTAGTGGGCCAAATAAGTAACCTCCTCCTCTAGGACTAATCGTCCACGTTTCTACTTGAACCTCAGGATCAGACCATAATAAATCTAAATACAATCAATAAAAGAATCTTTTTGATCATTTATTAAAAAACTTACCGCAGTGTCCACCACTTTGAGGTAATTCCTGCATTCTGAATAATGTACTGTTTTATCATGTTATAACTCATCTTTGGGGGACATGTTTTTTGCTTTTACCGAATGGAATCAATCGAAGGTAGTTCCGGTGATAATCCTCCGTGCACACAAAACACAGATCCATCAATGATCTATCAAAAGCTTTTTATATATTGTTGTCATGACTATGATCAACAACTTACTGCTGCCAAAGGTAAATAATCAAACACCATACAACACCATTCCCATACTTTTGAATTCTGATACTTTGCCATGCATTCATCTAATAGACAATGAATTCCATGCTATCAAAAAAGTATATTTTTACCATAAAATCCATAGACACGAGTGACGTTTCGACTTTCATGATTTCCTCTTATCAACGTAATACGTTCTGGGTATCTATGTATTAAATAAATAAATATGAACCGTCAACAACAATCATGACTTACTTGACTTTATATAATAATAGTAAAGTAAGTGTCTCGAGTGAATATCTTCCACGATCAACAAAATCTCCCTTTTTTTTTCCTTTGTGTATAAGTGGTTCTATAGCGCTTTCTCTAATAATCCTTCTTTACCATAAATACATAGGATGTCTCCGGTAGACTACCTCCCACTTCGAATATTTTAAGTAAATCATAAAACTGTCCATGAATATCGCCACAGAGAGTCACTGGTGCGTTGACTGGCACAACAGTTGATTCTTCTGCAAGAATCTCTTTCAACTTGAAGACATTAATATAATCATCTTTCATCTTTCTTTTTCATTTATTTTACTTTATTACATAGTTTTCTCATGTCGCTTTCTGGTAAGTATTTGCATTTCTTTATTGATTCAATGCAGGCATCAATATCCATTTTATATATGAGAATAAAGGAAGAAAAAAAAGAGTTCAAAATAAAATAAGCTTTAAACCATTTTTGGTTCGTGAGGCTAGAAAATATTCAATATTCCCTGGTTTTCATATAAAACAATTGTATCAACTGTCCCCCGAAACAGAGCCATGTCCTTGTGTATATGAGCTTTGTTTTTTTTGCTTTTTTTTTTTTTCTTGTTCACCTTGTTTTTAGAAAAAGCAGTAAAAGCTTATGTTCGGATCCCTTCCTTATTAGGCACGGGTCCTCAGAAGATAGAATACAGTGTGCTGACAAGCGGCTTTGGAAAGCTGTCTGATTTTACATGGTGCAGTTTTCCTTATGAGTCTATGATGTACTCTTTTTCACAAGGTCTATGTTTTATAATCTGTTGAGTGCTTTCTTTAGGCATTCTTTTGAAATGATCCACACTACATGGATTAAAGTCGCGCTGACAATATTTATGCACATTCAAAGAACGATGCCCTTTTACGCGTCTTTTTTTTTTTTTAACAATAACCTCTTATGTGCCAAATGTCACTGCTAATAAAGAATCTATATAATCATATCTCTTTCTTTAAGTAGTAATTTGTTAGTCTACTAATTTTTAAAAGAGTAGATCTACAAAAAGTGATTAAAGACTTTATTATCATCCATTCGTTCATCAGTGTGATATTAACTACCCTTTCCTTTTCATATAGTACATGAGGCATCCTTAGACTTGATCATAAAATGATATTCCTTTTTTACACTGTATACCAACAAGGCTTCCTCCACGATGTCATCTGAAAAAAGCCAATAGATCATGTAAACTTCAATACTACGAACGGAATATGCCAAGCTTTTGAGACTTTTTAGCAGGCACGGCAAGTTTCATATTAACGACACTATTGCTCAGTCAGATAGTCTATTCAATCTACTGAGAGGCTCCTGGATGCTGTGTATGCATTGCTTGATAAATCTCGTGAATAGTATACTCCACTCATTAGTTCCGATATGAGAGGATACAAGAGATGCAACAGACACGTAAGTGTGACAGAAAATAGCGTGAAACTCACTGAATCTACTCTACTATCGCTTAAAATATCAATCCATCTCGAATATTAGTGGGCAAGCTAATGCCAATAGTTCACAACAAGTGTAAATGGCTTCACGTATGGACACGGGAGGGTATTTTTCCGGAAATCTTTGTGGTGTAAAACGATACTGCCCTTCAGAAAAGTACACACATATGTGCATTCGAATCCAATCAATGATTATATTATCTATACATTTCATATCTCTTTCATCTAGTTGATCAAGCAAACTGGTTTAGGTGATGTCGTATGTTTATTTGTAATGTTCAATTGTATTCACATTTATTGAACACAAATGAATAAGACATTGTAATGATCAAAAGTTGCATAATTAGTCGAATTGTATTACCTATGAATATGTATCTACAAGGCCTCACCTCCTATTAAATGTTTACCGTGATGCACCCTCCTCTCTCATCTCAACTATCGGCATTGACATAACCAATATTGTACAACTTTACTTTGACCCAGAATTTCATGAGGTTTCAGTTTCTAGAATCATATGAACAATACCAAGATGACTCGCACCAAATGGGCCTTCATATACGGTTTTACATTAATCTACAACCCAGTATAATATATGCCTTGGAATGATTGGATGGTACTTTACGGAACATGGTTCAATCCAATGAATTGTAACCCTTTCGTTCCCTTGAACAACCGCATCTCAATTTACATGACTAACCTTCATTTACACAGTATGATCATTCGTTGGGAATACTTCTGTTTATAGACTACCATTACAATCTACCATATCTACCATATCTACCAATGATCCCATCCAATATAATATGTGTGTAAAGTTTTACTTTGCAACATTAGGAAAGTGACCTTGGAGCAAAAAGCAACGCAATGCGTCGTTGGTTGACAGTAATAAACGAAGTATTAAAGTCAAGTTTTCTATAAATTTTTTATTATTCCTCTTTAATTTGTAAGCCTTTTCTATATAAAATGAGCGAAAAGGCGGGGATACCCCAGAGTATCTTTGACTCTATGCATATATGTGTACTACACAATCGGTTTCCTATATTGTATCACTTTTATAATAAAATAAGCTGCTTGTTTTATATCGTGAATGGAGCAAAAAATAAGAGGAGACTTCAACCATACTTTGTTTGTAAAGAAACGTTTGTTTGACCATTACAATACAATGCTTCTACACCTTCCCCCGAAAATCAGAAGCAAAGGCGGAGAAAGCCCATGGTAGTTTATGAATTCTAAGACAAATATACCTCTGGTACGACGTTGCATTTCATCAGAAAGCTCTTTCACTCCTTTTTGGGAAACTATCCTTCCCGTCTTTTTCAGGTCAAAAGGGGAGAGATGGTGCAAGGGAACGGATCAATTCAAAAGCGCGTATATAAAAGCAAAGATGATTTCCCTGTCAAAGATTCCAAAAAAAAAAAAAAAATTCAAACAGCCTTTATAAATGAATCTCAAAGTTCTCGGCCTTCTCCTTGTTGCTACTGTTGCCTCTGTTTCTGCTGCTGACAGAGGTACTGAGACTGTTCCTGGCTTGGGTCAAAGAAAACAACAGATTCTCCATAGCGGTGGTGGTGTCTGGGACCTTGCTATTGCCATGCTTGAAACAAAAAACTTAGGTACGGATTACGTCTATGGTGATGGCAAGACGTATGACTCTGCCAACTTTGGTATCTTTAAGCAAAACTGGTTCATGCTTCGTACCTCTACTTCTCAATTCAAAGGCCAAACGACGAATCAATGGAAAAATGGTGCTGTCCTTAACTCTAATCTCCAACAAGATATCAAGGCTCGTCAAGAATCTCAAAACTATTATGGTCCCGACAAGTGGTTTGCTGGTCACAGAAACGGTGAGAGTGGTTTGAGCAACCCTTACACTCAAGATATCACCAACTATAAGAATGCTGTCAATTGGATTCATGATCAGCTTGCTAGTGACTCCAAGTACTTGTCTGATGACACCCGATTTTGGGTTGATGTTACTGCTATCTAAAAAGAAAAGGTCTTCATCGCCAACACGCTTTCATTATTTATTTACTGAATAAAACGACATTGTTCTGTCTTTATCATTTAAAATTGGAATCTTCTTGAATAGTGATTGATATTGATCTTATCAAACCAACCTAAATGTATTGATAACTGTCCTAATTTCACCTTTGCCCGTACAGTGACCCAATGGCGCTGAAAAGGTAATTGCCCTTAAAGTATCAAACACGTCAAATTTGAAAATTACCATATTTCTAATGCCCGCGAATAAGAAAATGACAGCACACCGCTCTTTTTTTTTATTATTATTTTCTCTAGTAATTTATTTTATTGATGAAGCTCCTTGGACTGGTCATTTCGACCATTCTCACATGTGCAGCTGCTACGACTACTCACATTCTGCATATAGACAACGAAAGCAATTTCTTAGATACGATTCAATCGCATAAACTAGTACTTGTCAACTTTTATGTACCCGACTGCGAGCCTTGTGAGTCCATCAAGCCAGAATATGAAAAGGCAGCAGAGACACTAGCAGATTCCGTACGATTCGCACAAGTGAATTGTGCTGAGAGTGAATCGATTTGTTCAGCGTATCGTCTGAAAGGGTACCCTACACTACAGCTTTTTAGACGTGGTAAGGCAGTGGACGTTTATTCGGAGGAACCGACAGGCATTGTGAACTATTTAAAAAGTCAAATGACCTTCAAGCTTGCAGACATCAAGACAAAGGCAGAACTGGAAGAACGTAAAGAAAAGGAACCCATCTTGATCGTCGCCTATGTGTCACCCACCGACTCAGTATCCATTGATCAATGGAAATCCATCTCTGAAGAAATGATGGATGATTTTGCATTTGCTCTTGTCACAGACGACACTTTATCTGCAACCGAAAACATATCCACGTTACCCACTGTTGTTCTCTACAAACACTTTGACCACTTACGCGACGAGCGCAAGGGCGATTTCAAAAAGGAAGATATCATGGACTTTATCTATATCAACTCAGTGCCGCTCCTAGGCGATATCACGTCCAAGAACTTTATGGACTATGTCGATGCAGGTCGTCCACTGGCATACATCTTTACTGACAGTCTCGAGATGAAGAACCAGATGCACGAGCTGTTTTTGCCTCTTGCCGAAAAATATAAAGACGAATTCAGTTTTGTACATCTCAATGCGTCTCAATATCCTGGTCAACTCGAACTCTTGTCTCTGGACAAACAGATCCTGCCCACGTTGGGTATCCATAACTTCAAGACGGGCGCAAGATACCCGTTTGATCAAGATGTCGAGTTCAACCTGAACCGTATCGATCAGTTCCTTAGCAACATCGTTGACGGTGGTGTTGAGCCCGTGGTCAAATCACAAGCATTCCCTCAGCGCTCCCCAAACGATACGGTCCATGTAGTGGTCGGTCATGAGTTCAATACGGTCGTGTTTGACAATACCAAAGACGTGTTTATACAAATTTATGCACCCTGGTGCAGACATTCTCAGCAACTGGCGCCCATCTGGCAGCAACTCGGTGACCTCGTTCACCATCAGAATCAAGACAATGGATTGGTTATTGCCAAGATGGATGGTGCAGTCAATGACGTACCTCCTTCTGCTGGATTCCAAGTGAAATCTTATCCCACCATCAAGTTTGTCAAGGCATATACAAATGAAGTTGTGGACTATGATGGAAAACGCACTTTGGAGGATTTAGTCAGCTTTGTCAACACCCATTCGAGCACAGCCAAGATTGATTTACCCGTTCGTCATGATGAACTCTAATATTGTACAGTAATAAACATGTTTACATTTCTCTCTCTCTTTTTCTCTATTGTATGATCATGATTATACATATTTATTAACTTAAAATACATCGCTTTAAGCACTCTTTTCCTTTTCGCTCTCTTCTTTATCACCAAACCTAAAAAAGATGGGAAAAAAAATTAGCTTATTTTTTGGGGGGACTTTTTTTCTTACTTGTGGTATTTGAGATAACGATAACCTTGTGTTAATTGAGCTACTTCATTAGTTGCATGGCAAGCAAATAATAAATAGTTTCTGGGTTGAACAGCTAAAGCGAAACGCATAAAGAGAGCAGAATAGGTACATAAAGCTAAAATAAAGCGTTAATGGGAAAAAGTAATTTCCTTTTTTTTTCTTTTACCCAATGTCATATTGCCAGAAATCAAACTAGGATCCTTTTGAGTATCAATGATGGCTGCAATAGGAAGACCCCAGTTGACAACGGGTCCCCAAAAGTGCTGTTTTGGATGGGTTAATATGTCACTGTATATACATATCAATTTAACTTACAGTGCTATAATAGAAACCGCGTGTTAGTTTACATGAATAAAACTGTTTCTCTTTTTTTTTTCATACCTCATCAAGTAGTTTCTAAACTCTTTAGAAGCAAGTTTCTGTACTAATTTATTTCCTACTTGACTAGAAGCCTGAGACGACATTATGAATAAAGAAAGAAAGAAAGAAAAAAAATTGGGGGGAACAGAAAGAACTAAAGGAGTTTCTTTCAGCCGACTTTTTTTTTTTTCTTTTGTTCTAATTGACAGCTTTTTTTGTTGTTGTTCCTGAAATAAAAGAGTTGGTTAATTTCCAAATATTAATAATAATAATGTAGAATATGTGATTCCTTCTTTTTCTTTATGAATACAACAAAACAAAAGACACATTTATTATATTCACAATCCATTCGTCCTTATTCACCTTTACTCGTACCTGGTATGTTCACTAGTAAAGCATCACGCGCAAATACAACCAAGAAAGTAACCTTGACTCAGGGGCACCTCGTCCTTGAATGTCCAGTGCCTACACGATTGATGGAAATGAGTGCCCGTAAGGACAAAGAGTTTAGCACGATGCGATATACAGCTGTGACGTGCGATCCAGATCAATTCGAAGCAAACCATTATACTCTACGACCTCAATTGATGAATAGGTCCACTGAACTGTTCATTGTCATTACTATGTATAATGTATTAAAATGTCCGTTGCTCCTTTTTGATTATATTAATCATATAATAGGAAGATGAGATCCTCTTTTGTCGAACGATGCATGGTGTCATGAAAAACATCTCTCATTTGTGCAGTAAGACACGATCCAAAGTCTGGGATACAGAGGGATGGAAGAAGGTCGTGGTCTGTGTCGTGGCTGATGGTCGAAAAAAATGTGATCCACGTGTGATGGATGTGCTTACGACCATGGGCGTCTATCAGACAGGCGTTGCCAAGAACATGGTAGATGATAAACCTGTACAAGCCCATTTATTTGAGGTAAGTCCTATCCTCTTATATGTGTATATATCATCTTATTTATTCTTTATTCAGTATACGACACAAGTTTCGGTCGATAGCGATATGCGAATTAAAGGAGCAGATAAGGGCATTGTCCCTGTTCAGATCTTGTTTTGCTTAAAAGAACAAAACGCCAAAAAAATCAACTCGCACCGCTGGTTCTTCAGCGCCTTTGGTCGTGTTCTTCAACCCAACATCTGTGTCCTCTTGGACGTCGGTACTCGACCTGGCAACACATCCATCTATCAACTCTGGAAAGCATTCGACACAAACGAACATGTCGGAGGTGCATGTGGCGAGATCTGCGTGATGAAAGGCACCGCCTGTGTTGACCTACTGAACCCACTCGTCGCTGCTCAAAACTTTGAGTACAAGATGTCCAACATTCTCGACAAACCGTTCGAATCTGTCTTTGGCTACATCTCGGTCCTTCCCGGCGCCTTCTCTGCCTATCGATACGCTGCGATTCAGAACGACATGAACGGACAGGGCCCTTTGCAAAAGTACTTTCTGGGCGAACAACAGGCCGACACGGACAATATATTTTCTGCCAACATGTACCTTGCTGAGGACCGTATCTTGTGTTTTGAACTGTTGGCCAAAAAGCGACATAAATGGGTACTCAAATATGTCCAGAGCGCGTTTGGTGAGACAGATTGTCCGAACCAGCTGCCCGAGTTCATCTCTCAGCGTCGTCGATGGCTCAATGGTAGTTTCTTTGCTGCTGTTTATTCACAGTATCACTTTTCGAGGATCTGGAGTACAAATCATTCGGCAGGGCGTAAGGTGATGTTGTCTATGGAATTTCTTTATAATTTTATCAACCTCATCTTTAGCTGGTTAGGCATGGTATTGCTGCTTTACAAGTGAAAGAGAGAATACCCACTAACTTTCTTTTGGGCAGGCTAATTTTTACTTGACCTTTTATTTTGTTTGTAAATCGCTCATCATACCCGAGATCGATCCATTCGGAAATGGATGGGGTGAGCGTGTGTTCTTGACGCTCTGGTATCTGTACATCTTCTTATTCATTTCTTCCTTTATTTGCTCTATGGGCAATCGACCACAAGGGTAAAAAAAGATGATAAAAAACAAAAATTTTAATTTTTATATAGGTCCAAGTGGATGTTTACGTTATCTGTGATCGCCTATGGTATCATCATGATGTACATGACCTTTGCAGGAGGATGGCTAGCTTATGTGAGCCTTCAAAAGGGAACCCAGTTGCCCGAGTGGAATCCTGAGGATCCAGTAGGCAACTTGGGATTACTGTTGGCTCAACCCGAGTGTCGCAACATTGTGATTTCCCTGCTCGGTACCTATGGGCTCTATATGAGTTCAAGTATGCTTTATTTGGATCCATGGCATATGCTGACAAGTTTTATACAATATCTCTTTCTACTACCGACCTATGTCAACATACTGAACGTCTATGCGTTTTGTAATATTCATGATGTGAGGTAAAAGGGTACCATTGCTTTTAAAAGATATATATATATATTCAAGCGTCTTTTGTTAGCTGGGGTACAAAGGGAGATAATACAACATCGATGGATTTAGGTGTAGCCAGTAAAGCAGCAACAAATGAAAAGGGAGTAGAAGCCGTTGAAGTGGAAATACAAGACGAGATGGACATGATTGACACGAATTATGAAAGAGCACTCGAGAATCTGCTGATCAAGCCAGAGATGATTCAACAGGTAAAGTGTGTATATCAATAAAGAGTAATGACGATTGATTATATGAAATATAGAGTCGAGCACCTAAAACCAAACAGGATGATTATTACCGAGGCTTTCGTACACGCCTTGTTCTCACATGGATTGGTTGTAACGCGATGGTCGTGGCGCTTGTCACCAGTTACCGAGTACAGTCTGTATTTAGCATTGACCTTGGTACAGCCTACACTGGCTTCATCCTCTGGACTGTCACAGGCATGGCTGCCTTTAGGTTCTCGGGTAGCTTTCTATACCTTGTTCTGCGCTGTTTTTGTTTTTAGAATAAAAAAAAATGTGTGTAAATTATATTTGCTTTTTTCTTTATTATTATTATAAACCACATTATGGAAGCAGAACAAATTCGTGAAGGAGTCAAGAATTTACAACAAGGAGATAAGGCGTAAGTGAGATGAACTCATGTTGAATTATGCCCGACCATGTTTTATTAGTGCATCAAAAGGGATATTTAGAAAGCCTGATTGGGACTTGGCTGCTAGTTATTACGATCGTGCAGGTAAATGAAGAGACATTTTTAAAAAAATAGACATGCTGAATGAGACACATAATAGCTACTTGTTTCAAGATTGCCCAGTCTTATGACCAAGCTGTTCAAGCTTATGCAAAGGCTTCCGAGGCACTTTTTAAGGCCGATAGGTATAATATACATAAAAAAAACAAAAGCTTGGTATGAGCTAATATGCATATAAAGTATTCACTTGGCAGGCAAAGCAACAGAGAGTGCAGCATTTATTATTGCACATAATTTGAACCAGCCTCAGCGAGCGGCTGATGCTTATCAACGAGCAAGTAATTTCTTTATGACCCAAGGCAGCATTGATCGAGCAGCTGAACAGCTAGACAAGGCTGGCAGGTAACAAAGATATGATGTCATGATTTAGTAGATATTAATATACATGTGTGTGTGTAGAGTGTTAGAAAGTGTAGATGTGAATGCAGCATTTGATATGTATTCAAAGGCATGTACATTGTATGAACAAGAGGACAGAGGTCGATTTGCTATGGATATTTACAAGAAGGCAGTGTCATTACTTGTTCGTAATAAAAAGTATGATAAAGCAATCGAAATGCTCAAGAGAGAAACTCAAGTGTTGATGAAGTTGTCGAGTCGAACTCATTTGTACAAAGCATATCTTAGTATCTTGATTTTGATATTTGCCATTGGAGACGATGTCGAAGCAGGTAAACAGTTTAGTATCATGTGTGGGTAAGTAATAGTGATTAGAAAGAGACATGATGTTAATATACCCTTAGACAAGATGCAGGATTTGCACATAGTGAAGAAGCAGAGATAGCAGAAGATTTGTTAAAGGCATATGATCAAAGAGATCAGGAACTACTCGAAAAGACCGTCAGATTACAACACATGACGTTCTTGGATAATGAGATTGTAAAGTTGGCAAGACTCTTGACTGTGCCTGGTGAAGTATTGAGTCAAAAGAACTTTCAACCCAATTTGGATGAAGACGAAGACGATTTACGATAAAAGAGAGAGGCTCAGCATAAATAAAAAAGTCAGGAGAAAGATGGTATACCCTTTCTCCTCCCTTCCAATCAAATAACGTCATTTGTTGTGTATCAATCTTAATGATGGCGTGCTTAAGTTTAGATTATCGATACAAATATGGTAATTAAGATCTCTCTCTCTTTGATATACTTATTAAACACTTTGCAAGCAATCAATAAGAAAGATGACGACTCTATAAAGAATACCTTGTATGTGTCTTGTTTCCTTTACATATCATCATCCTCTCTCTCTTTTTATTGACCATCGCATGAAACTTTCTCACGCATTGCTCGCACGATGCCTTTTATAGAAATGACCAAGAAGTTGCTACTATTCTCACGAAATTTAAGTGGCTAATAATAATCCACAAAATGGGCTACAAGACTCACTGTATACATTCTCTATATGGTAACTTGATAATACTATTGCTATAAGTGCATGCACATTTATAATATAAATATAGTATATACATGTGTGTATGCGTGAGAGTAAGATGAGGGATAGGTTTGATAATCATTGATAACCTTTGTACAACTATTATAATAATTGGCATCTTTCAATGGTTTCATATAAAGCCCTTACCATGTTTTATTATAAGCAATCTCGATTTACATATATATCATGTTTGATACGTCATTATATTCTATCTTTCAAAAAATAAAGACAGATCGACAACAGTTGGAGAACTATCTTTTCGCTTCTTTGCCCAAGTTTAGCATAAATTGCTTAAATGAGCAATAATAGTCACTCTATATTCAAATAGATGAATTATAGAGATACAATAATTGCACATTACTGCTATTGGTAGATGATAGCGCAATCATAAAAGAGTGTATCCTTATCCGTTATCCTATCAGACAAGTCATCATCTTCCATGGTTCAATCTAGCGCAATGGCATATATATTGCAAGACACACATTCTACCTGTCTAATGTAGTATGTTCAATCTCAGCCACGGTAGTGGTTAGTTTAGCAAAGATAGAAATAATAGTGTAAATGTGATCAAAAAAGTGAGTTAGTCACCAAATAGAGTAAGAATGACTGGTTGATTCAGGAGCGAATAAAATAGCATCACCTTATCATTGCTTTTTTTAGTTTGCACACTGGTCGGGATATGTATCCACGTGATGACATCTGCTTTAAATAAAAGAGATAAAAAAATAAATAAAATCCCTTTCTTTTTTTTCCTTTATTAACCATGAATCAAGACGAGCCTTTAGAGACACAGATCATCACACAACAAATATTCGGAAGCAGTAAAAAGATTCAGTTGATTGGTTTAACCAAACAATCAAGGCACCATGACCATCAAAAGGATCAAATGTCGATTGAGTCTTTACTTTCTATTCATCCAAGACAGTCTCAGACAGCTTCAAGAAATGACATCACTATTGATAATTTATTAACCTATGATATGAAGAGGTCAAGACATGATGAAGACCACAATAATAATAACAGCAGAAAGAGATTTAAAAAGAAATCTAAACTTACTTGTTTATATGGTGCAGTGGCACAAAAATCTTATGGTTCAGAAAAGAGATTTCTTTGTCCTCCACCTCTTGTACAGATAAACTCTGAACAAAGACAAGACATGCAACTGTCCATGTCTATTCTCTGTGAGGATAATGATATACTAGAGCAACGTACCTCTCTAGATGATAATCAAAATGGCAGTTTTCGCTATTTACATGTTACTGGAACAGCCAAGGCAAAGCACTTTAAGCTTCAGCTCAATTTACTTCAAAACGATACTTCATACGCCACCTTTTTATCGAAACCTATCTCTATCATCTCAAAGCCATCTAAAAAGACAGCCAAGACATCGAGGAATATCTCTAGCTGCATCTTGGCTAATACACCCGTCTCACTTTTCAATCGCATCAATTCTCAAACAGTACGCACCAAATACATGACGACAAGTGATCACAGACTATGCGCAAAGAATTCGACCTGGTCACCCTTTGATATCATCGTCTTACGCCAACCAAAGCAAGCGAATGAAGTGGTTGTCACGAAGCCTTCTAAATCACCACATACCTCACGACTGCACCTTCAAAAGACCTCTGTCGCTCACTTAACCTATGGCACCGAAATCATTCTTCGAGAATCCAAGACGAACGTGTCGTCTCCTCCTCTTATTCTCTGCAAGGTGGATCGTGGTCGTATTGCTTCATCTGCTTGCGGTCCCGTCAGTCAGATGCAAAAGATTGCTCTCAGACTTGCTTCCTCCGATAATCTTTACCTTAGTGCGGCTGGTTCCGACACTCAGCAAGATTCAAATCACTCTTGGCTAGATTATGCGCCATCGAAACGATATCAAGACAACATTGAGTACATGGAAGACCATCTTTGCTGGACGATTGTAGGCATTCATGTCCTTGAAGAAGAATTTGAAGATGTCCCATCTTTGGTTACAACTCCAATGCAGCCTATGGCTCCTCCTTCTCCCCCTTCCCCACAACCCTCTCGATTGATCACACCTTATCCTCTCATCACTCACGTCGAATACATTCCAGAGTCCTATACTCTCAACGTCATCGGTCAACATCTCTTTCAGGCTGCTCCTGTGCCTCGGTTACTAGAGCCCTGGATAGGTACGCATGGCCCTCTCGTAGCCACTGTCTTAAGGCCACCTCCTGCGCATGCTCCTCATGAGACCTACTGGTCTATTCAATTACCTCACCCTTCTTCTGAATTTGCTCATGAAGAATTACCTCTGCTTCTCGTTCGTCAGGATGGACTTGTGTATCATACAGGCAAAATATTAGTATGTGATCTCAACGGTCACTGGTCGTGTAAATAATAATAATAATAAATTCATATTTTCTCTTTTTTCTTCTCCTTTAAAATGAAATCAGTCGGCACACTCCGCAAAAAGGGTCTTGTCGTTGACCATTTTGTTCATCGAAAAGATAAACCAAAACAACGTCCTGTCATATCAACGCCTCAGCAACAACCACCTCAACAACAACAACAACAACAACAAACACCCATGTCTATTGACTTGCATCGTTTTGCAAATGATAATTTACAACCTGAAGAATGTAATTCTGCCCTTTATACATTCCTGCACATATACTGACAATTATAAAAAGTCGTTCGCAAATCACTAGGTGATGCCAACGAAGAAAACATTCGAAGCTTTTACAAGTCTCTTGTCGATGCCAAACATGTTGTCGGTGGTGACCTGCAGCGTAACGTGTACAGAAACTATACTGAATTCGTTTCCATCTCTAAAGAAATATCCAACCTGGACGCTGATGTCTTGCGCATCAAGGAATATCTAAACGAACTCAAATCGATCTGGGAAAGCTTTTTACAAATGACACAGGATGACCATCAGACGACACAGAGCAGTAAGAGAAAATAAAAAGCTGTTCACAGCTAATGATATCATTTAGACCGTATTATTCTCCCTGATAGAAAACGAAGCGACTTACTCGGTGATACACATGCTATTCATCGTGCGCAGATCCTTTCTCTTTGGGAAAGTGTGGAAGGCGCACAACGGTTTATACCACAGGCACAACATAAACATATCGTAAGAGAGTGTGTTGATATATATGAGATCAATCCCAAGACACTTCAGCCTCGACAGACCGTGCATCTCTTCTTGCTCAATGATTGTCTACTCGTTGCCCGTAAGCGTTCGAATCATAGATTGGTTGCAGAATACTGCTGGAGTATCCAGGATTTGACCATCATGGACATGAAGGATACAGAGGGTAAAGGGATGATATATGAACCTCTTGAGCGTGTATAAAACTCACGTTAACTACAGAGCTCAAGCGTGCCTTTCGAATCGTTGTGTATCCACAAACATTTATTTATCAAGCAGAAAGACTAGAGGACAAGGTGGGCTTACTCAATGCCTATAAGCGTCTGATGGATGATCATCATGAGGATAAACCCATGGACACGCCTGTCAAGGCAATATCGGGCGCGCCCTCAGGCCAACAATTGCATCCTGAAAAGGAAAAATACCTTGTTGAGATGCCAGATCAGTTGGAGGTGTTGATTGCATTAAGAGAGTTTGAAAAAAGCGTAACTTATATAGAGAAAGGTGAGTTGATCATGCAAACGCATCGAGACTGACTTTTTTTTTTCTTTCATTCCAGCTAGACATATTGTACTTACCTCACCAAGCTCCTTCCCGATCATTCGAGAGGCTCGTGAGCACGTAGCACATTATACAGACCTACTTTGCTCTATCGTCAGTCGAGACTTGAGCAACACCTTGCTCACAAAGATTCAGTTTCAGCGTTATGTCAATTGGCTATTACGACTCGAGCAAAGCGAAAAGGCGCGTGAGGTCTTTCTGGCGACACGATCTATGATCATCAAGAAACGTATTCGTCAACTCGTCTTTGGAGGCGACATCACGACCTATATCAGCGAACTGGCCTTGGTCGTATTCACGTTGATACGGAATACTTGTGAATGGTATCGGGATTCGTTCAAACAGAACGAGATGGCCTCTGGGTTTGTGACATGGGTGAGAGAACAGACGGAAATTTATGCAGACATTTACAGGCGTCAAGTCTTTGGACAGAAATTGGGGTGTCAAGCAATTGCTGATTGCTTTAAATCAACACTTGAGCATTGTTCGATTGTATGTACAATTGTGTGATGAATGTTAGCTAACGTGTTGTCATAGTTACGAAAGGTCGGATTGGATCTCAAGTTTTTGTTGGAGGATCTCTTTTTGGATAATGTTAAGGAGACAGTAATGAATTATAAACAGCGGAATATGGAAAAGGTAGAAAAGTTTGCCAAGAATGACAATTTTATGATTGTATCTGGTCAAGGGTTAGGTAAGAAATAAAAAAAAAAGATTATAGATGATATCATTCACATACCCTTTGTGTATAGGCACAGATGTCAAAGTAACATCAAGTGTCGTTAGTTTTTATAATCTCTTGATCAAGTTTACCAATGATGTCTGTTTACTATCTAGAGTTCAGGTAATTTATAATGTATACATATGTGTATTAGATATTTATATATATGTGTGATTGTTTAGATGTACTCGACGGTGATTGAAAGCATTTGTTCATTAACAGAACATTATTTAAGAATGATGGTACAGGAATCACGAAAGAATGAAGACAATGTAAGTTGTTTATATACAACAAGAAAAAGAGGACTTATACTTTAACAGAGAACAATTGCTTCAATGAATGTGTCATTTGTATTGGATAATATCGTACCAAGGGTCTCATCACAATTGAATGTATGTCGTATATATGATATGATTATATATCCCCCTCTTTATTCATTTGTTATATAGCATCACTTTAATCGACCTATACCAGAATTAGATACCTTGAGAGCAAGATTAAGAGGTTAGTTACACTGAAAGTGCAATACAAAGTTGGTTGACGTATTTTTTGTAGAATTAACCTATTCGCACGTGAAACATAGTCATGGTGAAACCTATTACTGATCCCAATTGTCTGTCATTGACTCCTTTTTTTTCTCTCTTTTTTTTTTTCTTCTATTTACGCATATCAAACAATTATATAGACAGAGAGAGAACTCCTTTAAATACACACACATACACTTATATAAATACCTAGCACTCTCTTTCTTTTTTGTTATTATAATGAATAATATATATTTTATGCTCTGGATACTGTTTGAATGTCTATTTTATATTCAATTTCGATATAGCAAGAATAAGCTACAAAGGGTCAATAAACCAGCGACATTACTGACAAAACAAGAACGCATGACTCTATTTCATGACTGCCTATCCTCCGTCAAGAATATCAAAACATGGGCAGAGGGTTGGTTCTATTGTAAGGATTATACACATCCATCCTTTCAAGAAATCAAGCGAGACAATATTGCGCTATGGTAATACTTTCTTTTTTGCATGACTGTTGTCTAATTTTTATAGGCTTGCATGGGCATTTTGGCATGACGAATTACACATTGTACGCCAAAACAAAGACATTGACAATGAAATTGATTGGATGATCAGAACAATTGAAGATTATTTCCATATCAAGGTTCAAGAAGGGTACAACCCAGATCTATGCTGTGTTCGACTTGACCTTGACCCTGTTCAGACCATCCATCGTCCGCTGATTGTCTATTTGGCTATTTACATCTGCACGTATTTCTTCAACCTCATCTTCTTACAGACTCTCTGGGGATTCACACTGACGACAGATCAAAACATGTGGGGAGGTGCGTTTGCCCTCTTGGACGGCGCCTGGAACCACACAGAGAAACGGTCGAAACATATCAGCTACTGGTCTCGTCTGAGAAAGAATGACAAGGTGCCTATCGTATTCATTCATGGCCTTGGCGCTGGCCTGATGTGTTATGTCGAGTTTCTGCATCAACTGCTTCTGGCTGAGGACAGATCCGTCTTTTTGATCGAACTGCCTTACGTGGCTATGCGCTTAGTTGACCATGTACCCAATGCAGTCGAGGCAGTCGAAGGTATCAAGGAGATGCTGCATTCATCTGGGTATCATCAGGCCGTCTTTGTATCTCATTCTATGGGCACAGGGATCTCAAGTTGGGTATCAAAGTATGCGAGTGATCTGATCGCTGGATCAGTCATGATTGATCCTATTTGCTTTTTACTTCATCATCATCATGTCGCGTTCAATTTCATGCATAAATTACCTCAGGGATGGATGGATGTAAGTCACTTGAATATAAACCAAACCAAAAAAAGAGAGACTAACTTATACGTAGTACCTATTACGTTATGTAGTAGCCAGAGAACTCTACATCAGCCACTTCATCTCTCGCCATATTAAATGGTACGAGATGATTCATTTTGGACATCAACTGAAAAACACAAGCATCTTCTTATCAGAAAGAGATCGTATTATTGGTAGTTTATTGGTACATAGTTTCTTGTCAAGCAAGACGCCTGATGTCCATATCATGCCTACCTTGGAGCATGCACAGTTCTTGGTGAATAGTAAATGGAAATCGTTGATATTAGAGCATATTCATAAGATTAGTCGTAAAGCTGATTTTAATAAACTATATTAATGCATTGATGTCAACGCCGCATCTAGGCTCGTCATGCTCGTAGGTCGACTCAGTTTGCGTTCAGGGCTGCGCTTGAGCAACACTTCGGCCTTTCGATAGACGGGTGAGTTGGATCGAACAGAGGCTGTGGACGACATGTGATGTTCTGATAAGAATTGTTCTAGAAAGTCAACCATCAGTGGTTCCTTCATCGCAGATAGTTTGTATTCTTCAAATGACTATATTATAAATAATTAACAATGTCTTTTTGCTTTTTTTTTCACAAAGGGACTGGAAAAGTTACTAATTTATCATCATTATCCACATCAAAGTCCTTGAACAGTTGATCCACCATTTCTTTGATTTCAGCTGTTCTGTCTTCTTTTGAAAATGTTACAGACTATAATATATTATTATTAACTCATCCCATAGTGTTGTCGGTATTACCAATTTTAACAACACTCTTTCCAGCTCAGGCTTTGTTAGATAACCATCATGATTGACATCATACAACTTGAAGGATACTAAAAAGAAAGGAATGAATAAAGAGGGGATATATTAAAAGCTAATACTTACATGCTAGTTTCTCTTGTTCGTTTCCTTTCATAAACACACTTAGACCATCGACAAATTCGTCAAAATCAAGTGATCGTTTCTGATTGTCACCTGCAAATGCAGCATATAATTGTTCCAGAAAGACGTCGTCCTCTGAGGACACAGAGGGAACACACTTTTTGACTGTCTACGTTTTCAAGTAAAGCGTTATTATTATTATTATTATTATTTGTTATGCATAAAACTCGTACTTGTTTAAAATCCTCTGCACTGATATTGTTATCTTTATGGTTCACTTTATCTCGCAAGTCTTGTATTTCTTTTTTTGTGACTATCAAGTAATAAGTTTATAGGAAGTATCGCTTATTAAAGTATGTTTACAGTGTGTCTTTCTAGATAATATAGCATCCTTGCTTTTCGTTTGTCCCATTTTTGTGTATAGTAAAAAAAATGCAAGAAAGAAAATGGTAAATCTCTCCTCTCCAAAAAGCTTTGTAAACAAGTCAGCCTACCAATGAAAACGGGTCATATTCGTCATGACTTTCTTTTGTGTCATTTATTTTCTATATTTGGGTATATGGGGTATCCACACATAAATATTTGTGTGTGTATATATGCATTGAGAGACTACTTGAAGCCAGCCACTTTGGTCTTCTTCTTCTTCTTCTTTTCCATTTTGGAAGAACTGGTGGGCCGTGAACCAAATGCACCAGGCAAAGGCTGTGTTAAATATTCAACTGGACGTGTTGTTGTTGTTGTTGTTGTCGTATGATTATTTAAAGACTTGTTGACGCTGACAACAGTAGGCATACTGTATTCCATATTTTCATGCCAGCCAAGATCACCAGAAATCTCTGAATGCCTACGACGACGTGCCAAATTATGAGTACTTGTCTCCTTGGCAGGTGGAAATTGGACATGAGCTGGTAACCGCGCATTTGTATCCACAACAGGAAAGACGAGGTCTTGTCCAGCTTTCTCGCCAATTTTCCACAGTGATCCCATGATGCGCGTTGTTGTTGTAGGCTTTAGCTCTACATGAGAAGGAAGATATTGAAAGTGATCTAGACTGGATCGTGGACGATGTAAAATCATCCTTGATGTTTCTATTTCCTTTTTATGTGCAGCCTGTAGTCTTGATCGAAGATCGACATCCACCGGTTTACTTTGATCTTTGGAAATAGAAGGTAGTTCAGGTGGTCTATCCATTTCTATATTTTCCATAAGCATCATTTCATTCACAAACGATGTAATGTGTTGTAGAGAGTAAGATTCATCTTGTATCAGCTCTTGTCTATTAAACATGGATTAGAAACACGGTAAAGTATGTCAGATATCACTTACAGAGTCGTGCATGATTCGAGTCTTCTCACTTTCTCTGCTATCTCCAACTTGGTTTCGTCATCTATCGATTGTGATCCTGGGTTTATTTCATTGAGGTATTTGTATATTTGATTGGTATTGATCCGATACACTTCTCTCAGATATTTCTTTCCTAAACTGTGTTCTGGTAAAAACGCCATCTTGATGTTGGAATGCAATTTTTGAATACACTCATGGCCTTCGAGATAATATCTTGGTTTTTGAACAAGCTGTAATTTAGCTGATGCTAGCTCTGTATCGATGGTGATGTATTGCACATGAAGAGACCCATTATCAAATGATCGATATACGCTGTAAAAATAAGTGGGTCGATCTCCATTGATAATAGGGTGTGACTCTATAGAAAATCCATGCGCAGGTATATGAAGGCCTGGTTCGACTTCATTTTCACAAGGCATCTTTTTGAGTCTAAGGTACCGTATGAGACCAATTTCGGGTTTGGTAGAGCGACTATAGTAATAGAATAAGGTCAATATCAAACATTGATATCTACAGACACAACTTACTCAAAGAACTTTACATTCATCAAATGTAAATGTTGATTGTGTGGTGAGAAAGCAGACAGTCTCCCTGTGTAAATCATTCATTAGCACCAATATTTGTAAAAAGTTGCATCATATTACATTCATTATCCTTTAGTCTATCAACAAGTAGGCAAGTTGGAGGTCCATCTCTCATCATATGCCTCCATCGAACAATTGGTCTTTTATCATCAATGTCCATAATATAAACATACATCAATGTTGAATAGCAATATAACGATGTCCCAGAAAACTCTTGAAATGCATAAATACGATCTTCAAAAGCTGTAATAGTTTTTGTCTCAATTGTCGTTCCCTTTAAAGAAATAGTAATAAATAAAGCTTGATTCCAGTAATAAAAAGTAATTTTACCTTTACTGTCCATTGCCTTATACTTTCAGGAGATACTATCAAGTAAGTGGATGGTGTACTTCCAAAAGCACATAACCAATGATTTGAGCGATAATCAGTAATCTTCTTTGTTGTATTATCTCTTCCCTCAAATAAAATTCTAAGATATTGGATGATCAGCTATATTCTTTTCTTTCTTTCTCGCTTTCCTTACTCATCCTTTTTCCCATCTACCAATGCAACGTATCCATTTGTCGTGACACACAGATAATCATATTTCTTATATGGGCTCATCACTACATGATTTGGCATGGAATAGTCTATTTGAGGACTGGTCACTGTTCTTTCATAAAAGATAAAAGTATGCAACAGTTGGCAATCACGCTTGTCGTTTACTGAATAGAGTGAAATGGTGGAAGTAGTTCGTACAGCAAATATAATCTGTTCGCGATTAGATAAAGGTGATATCGTGATCTGTCGAACTGGATACTGTAGATCTACAACTGTAATAATATCAAGCTCGTCTAATGGTAAACTGATTTTCGAGTCATTGCTTAAAGAAAAATCAGAATAACGAGATATCGCAATCACTGTTGAAAAAGGTTAATCATACATAGTGAACTGAAGGCATTGTCATTTACCGATTCGAGATAAAGATTCACCCGTTGCAAATATAAACAGTTTGTAATCAGTTTCTGGAATATGGGTTGTTACAAGTACGTTTCCTTGTAATGGATCGTGTTGTTCAAATTGTCTGTTGGTACTGGCATCGTCTTGTAGCATGCTTGCAATGGAATTTGTGCCCAGAAATCCTAATGACTTTACGTCCCTGACTATTCTATTGGCCTTTGTAATAGAGTTAGAATATTTATTAATGTTAGGTTATTCTCCTTTTTTTCGTACTTGATCCATAAGTTCCAATACTCTTGCTTGAGGCGTTGGTACGTGATCATTAGTGCGAGGTATTATTTCTACTTGATCAAGGAAATTATTGTCTAAATGAAGCATAAATAAATACATAGTTTGTAATGCGTAATCATGTCAGTTTTTACAAAATGGTCCAGTTCCAGTATGAAATCGTTCTAAAGGAAAACCAAATCTTACTTCTACAGTATCAAATCTGGTCTGCCCTAAGCTGTCCATGACAGAACACACACATTTACAAAAAAAAGAGGGATGCGCCACAAATACATAATGTGACGACTAAATAATTTAATTTGACTTTAATCATCCTTGAACGGAGTGTTTCCATATCATCAAACTTGCTGTGTCAGGAAATAAACAGTCCAGGATCCCAGAAAAGCATGTATGTAAAGTGCTAATTCAGAAGAAGATCAATCTTAGGATGCTTAAGAACTCTCGTTTGATTGATCAATAATTTGAGAACAAGCCCATTGCTGCCAATGAACATAGATATAATCAATAACAAAGATGTTGTTCTAGAGTCGTCGAAACGTAGGAACGACTTGCAGTTCGTTTATTGCCATACTGCTATTTTTTTTCTTTTTTTTGTATAATGATATTTTATTCAAGTATCACCAGTTGGTGTGTACTTGTTAAAGAAAATAACCAAAAAAAGCAAGACAGATAACATAGAAATATTAAACAAGTAAAAGATTGCGTTAGCCTGAGATAGACGATGCTAGGTGCGTTCTATAAGTGTTTTCGTCATGTATTCGCCTAATTGCTTGTGTTCTTCGTGCAAAAGCTTCATCGGGCCAGTTGACCTAGACCGTACAGGTAATTATTGCTTGATCATCAGCACATAGTCCTGAAAGTACTGATATACTGTTATTTTTCTTTGGAGTTGTAGGAGCTTGTTTGTTAATATAGAGTATTTTCTTGAGATTTTATAAGTTTAGGTGCTTGAAGTGACCATCGGATCTTTTAAAGTTGACCAAACTATGTCGTATAAAGTAAAGTAAAAGATAAATAGAAGAGATCAGGAACTTTTATAACAAAAGGCTGCCTGTCTATTTAAATAAAAAGACAAGAATATGAATTGAATTGATTCGAATTGATTTCCACAAGAGCAAAGTATTTATACTATTTCTTTGTTTATGATTACAACTTTTTTCAATAAAACAAAAGTTTTCGTTAGCGACTTTTGTCGCTGTTTTGAAAGATGTCGGTAGGGTTGGGTGTAACGTTATTGTTATTTTGGTTGCAATAGGCGAAGGCGAATGTAAGTCCAGTGATTGATAGATAAGCCTTGCAGCAGGCTGTAAAAAGCATGCCCAGGTTTCTTTCTGGAGCATACAAGACCACAAAAAGTACTCATCGTCTTCGACGCTTCCGCATAGAAGACAGCAGGGATCCAAGTGTCGGTCCGGACATAGCAGGTGGAGACGCTGGCGTGTTAGCAATTTGTGGTGATAATATTGCTAGAGTACGGTGCGTCCCTGGCTTGGAAAGGGCAATAACCAAAAGGCACACCATGCCGAAGCAGAATCACGCAGGTAATCGGCCGGTAATGAGTCAATAGGACGTAAACGGGGGTTTCGAAATAGCTTGAGTGTTATATTGTGAAAGTCATGGCTCCACATAGCTCTACTCTCAGTAGATCTTCAAAATTAGGTTGAGGCATGCGATATAGCGTATACTGGAATGGCTGTCTGGTCTGAGGTTATACGGTATGAATAAGGTCGCAATGGAGGAATATACTGGGCACTGGCCATCATCTAACAGGGAACGGAGCCAGCATACTTGATGTTTAAACTTCATGCTCGACAAGCGAGACTTTCGTCGCAAGCAGTTGTGGGTTGGGCTATTTTCGAAAGTATTCTTCATGCGCAATTGGCGCCTGTTTGTTCAGCAACCACGATTGTACTAGATCAGTAAGTCGAGATACACTCACGAAACCGGAATCTCTAAAACTAACGATGTATGTAACTCATTCCAGTTAACGGAGAAAGGATAGTCATTGTTAGCTATTGACTCTTATTGTTTATATATGTATATATATGTATATATAAGCATCAGAAATACTACACCAACCCATATCTAAACCATCTGCAAATATCTCTTGCGTGGGTGTTTCGGGTAAGGAGATACTGCTTCACCATTGTAGATGATGAATCTACGATTGTAGGTCTGCACAAATGCTTTTGGAGTCAGTGTGACAATCGAGGATTCTGTCTTCCTCTGATGAAGCGATTCATTTTTGAGAGCGAGGAGGCTACGAGCCTTGGGACGAGCAGGAAACACAACGGGAGTTGTCGCTTCAGCCTGCCTCTTAAGGAAGACAGTACTTTCAGGGTGCATTTCTTTTTGCTGAATAAGTGCTATGTTTCGCATCGTATGTTCTGTCGCTTGGATGTTGGAACGGAAATAGTCATGGTGGCTGTGTTGATCATGATACCTAGATAGTCAATTATCTGTGAAGTGTCAGATGGAATTTTGAAATAAACCCCAGTTCCTTCGGTTTGGACAACACATGTTGCGTCTTCTGTTCGGTTTCTGTTTGTGGCTTGTTGATAGTGATGAGATATGTAAACAGATATCCGATTCCTCTTGCGTCGTGCTCAGCGAAGGACAGATCTGCGTATTTTTGTGAATACCCAATGGACTCAGAGAGAGACCGAATAGGAGTCTTGAAGTGTAACAGACTGCCTTCCCAAAAGAATTACATATACTCGCGTGACGCTTGGCGAATCAGGATGTGAAGAAAGACGTCTTGTAGGTCGATAGAGATAAGGAAACTGTTCGGTTGAATGAGGTGATAAACCTGCTGAATCGTTTATATCTTGAAGTGCTTGCGAAGAATGAATTGATTCAGAGGTCGCAGATTCAGCACTGGTCGAATGTCTCCTGTCTTCTTAGGCACGGCGGATAGGTGAGAGCGGAAACTAGGACTATGTACTTCTTCTATAGCTTGTTTCGTCAGAAAGGTGTGTCGTGTTTACATATATCATGTATTTCTTAATTCTCTATTTCCTTATTCTCAGGGATAACAATAATAATACAGCATTTACACCTCAGCTTTGGCCAATTTACAAACTTGGTTCAACCAAGGATCTATTTGTATAACAAAATGGTCGAATCAAGTTTGTAGCTTGGTCGAAGTTGGAGTGCAACCATAAATGATGCCCTTGACGACATTAAGTATAAATAGCAGCCATAAGTCCTCTTTCTTTAAAATTCACACGTGTCTTTAATATTCCTCTCTTTTTTATAAATAATCTACTTTACAAGCCATCACTTGTTAACATTTTCAAATCTAAAACTGAATACGACAACTATGCTCAGCTTCGGTCAAGGAAGATGAGGGATGCAAAGTAAAAACCTAATCGTTCATGGTGATTTGACCATATATTGATAATCCAGGAACTCTTGCACTGAAGTTATACATTAATACAGCAGGGTATGCCGCTTGCATGAAGAACATCTACTTGGATACGCTTCAATCTAGTTCTGGAATGTTTAATGTTGATACTGAAGAAACCCCTTTCCTGAAGTACAAACTACTCAAATACGTCATTCAAAATTATACTGCAATTAAGAGTGACAAATGTGCGGGTAGGAGCCTCGCTACCAAGGAAAAGCGTATCGAGACATTGAAGGAGTTGCATGTAGAGTTGTGTAAGTCATTTTAATCGTTTTTATATGGTATATAATTTGATAATTTGTTTATTTTTTTGGATATTGATTGAATAGTTGGAGAAAACAACTCTTTCGAAAATGTGGTCTTAAATAAAAAGACTGTTCTAAAGAAGCGCAAGCGGAAGCGCAACGACGAAGAAAAAAGCATTTACTGTAAAAGGATAAGGGGTTCACTAGCTACAAGAAATATACGACCGGACTATGCAATTGATGTATATAACAACAGAAACTTTGCTTTTAGTGATGGAGTAGGAGAGATAAAGCTTTCTACTGTTGCAAAATCGGGCCAACAGATTGATTTTTATCGTACAGCAATTTTTTCAAAAGAAAGATTGGGCAAGTATAGTTTGGAAACGAGCATTGGGATACAAACCATCGGCAAAATATCTCTTATAAGGCTGTGTGTCGTCATCAACCTTTATATAGACACTACCGTTTCATTCTTTGGAATGAATTTATATTTTTAACAAGTTGTATACTTACACAGAGCTAGGAAACATTAACCTCCCAATGAAGAAGACTGAACTGTGTGGTGCACCTAACACAGTTGATGTTAATCCTAATATGGTTATAGGCTTTCTTGCCGCGCTTTTATTCTCAAATTTATTATATAAAAGCAATTTTTAAAGTTTGTATTGCTCTTCATATCTTTCAAAGTTGCTCACCGTGGAACAACTATGGATAATATCATTAAACTCACTATAGAACAAACTCAAGTACTTCTCAATTTCAGCAAGCAATTCAAAGAACAGGGGCTCAGAGCCGAATCCATTGGCTTCCAAGTCCTTCCAGAAGAGATTCTTGGCGATTTAGAAACCACTTCCCAAAACTGCACTCGGGGCCAAAATAAAAAAGTTTGCCAAGGACACACGCAAGTATGAGGGAGGTAAATGAATGCTTTCAGGAACGATCAGCAGAGTATACCTTCCTGAGCTCAAGAAATATCAGTTGGATGTCGCTCAAACGATTGTGAGCATCGCCAAAGGAGCAGATTGTCCTGCGCATAGCCGGTCGGCCAATAACAGAGATCTGTCAAGAATTTCAGAAGGGACAGCCTCCTGTGGCTGCAAGAACTTGCGCTAGAAATTCAAGCAACCGTAGCACAGTACAACCTTCAGACACAGTATCAACGTATTCAAGGCACAAAGGATGTAAAAGCCGACCAACTGAGCCGAAAGACAAAGACGCTGTACGAGTAGAAGTTACCGCAACGATTTTTTAAGGTGATCCAACAAATGTAGGGACCTCTAAAATTGGATGCATTCGCCACCAGAGAGAGCACACGATTGCCTTGATTTTGGAATATGAATTCGGACTCACAAGTAGAAACAGCCATCGTCTGGAACTAGCAATGGATGAGAACAGGTTTGTACTTGTATCTACCTTGGAAGTTCATTCCGAGAGTATCAAGGAAGTTGAAATCCGACCGAGTGAAGAAAGCGGTTCTTATCACGCCGAATTGGAAGAGTCAATACTAGTGGCCAATGGTTCTACAGCAAAGTCTGACGACGCTAATAACATTCAAGATATGCAAGTAATGGTCCTTGACCGCATGGCTGTTATCAGGAAGTTCCAAGAGCAAGGACAGGAATTAACGGAGAATGTCATGGATTTTCTGCAACAATCTAACAAGCTCAGCATTCGCAAAAACTATGACCTCCAATGGCGGAGATGGGCTTCCTGGTGTTTGGCAAGAATACTAAAGGTGAATTCGCTAGAGCATGATCCCGTAAAGCTTGTCGAGTTTCTTATAATCAACAAAGATCTCTCTCCTCAACAATTAAATTGTATACGCTTAGCTGTCGCTTCCGTGTTTCGAGCTATACATCCGGATAAACCCGTCATAGCATCCAGCATACTTCTTCAACAGTACTTTCAATCAAAAAGACGTAACTATTCCAAGTTACCAAATAATAGCCAAGAAGTATATGATGTTCAACCGATTCTTAACATGGTTCAAGCTTGGGGTAAGACCAGCAACTTAGGATTAGACATTTTACAACAAAAGACGATCCTATTAGTCACCATTGCATCCATATGGCGACCTAGATCCGATATTGGCAAACTACAATATCGTGACATCATTTTCAAACATGACGATCAAGGATTGCTCTTAGGTGTCACATTGATAGCAAGATCACCAAAAGAGACTGATACAAAAACTTCAAAGCCTGGAACTTTAGAAGATAAGGAAAATTGCCCGGTTTACACTCTTTATCAATTTTGGGAACACACACTACATTTGAGAAGTGCGCTGCCTGAAGATCACTCCCTTTTTTTTGGCAAATATCTTAGAGAATGACAGCAGCAAGATCCATTTAGCGCCTCCAGTAACTATAGCAAACTGGATTAAGACCAATATGGGTAAAGCAGGCATTGATACAACCAAGTTCAAAGCACACTCATTGCGTTCTGCATCAAGTACAAAAGCAGTAGCAAACGGTGCCTCTATCCAATCAGTAAAGATGCACGCAAACTGGAGTCTCAGTAGCAACACTTTTGAGAAGTACTACTTCAAGCCGAGGGATCAATACCGCCGTGGCCGTGCCTTGACAAAGAAGATTTTTGAACCCACTGCTGAAAACATAACCACATCCGACGTCGGAGTGGAGCCAACGACAATTGTGTTAGACACGACATACAATTACTATTTAGACCAGAGGACAAACACAAGGAAGAATAATATATATACGCCTTGAAGAAAATATCACCAATAGATCTTACAAATGTGGATAATCATTATTTATAGATTGGGCTTTAGAGCAAGACATATCAATGACTAACTTCACAGAGGGCCATGTGGCTAATTTTCTTTCTGAAATGTTCGAATCAAGAGGATACCAACACACTACACTTCGTCTTTTCCGCTCAGCGATTGCGCACTTGCATCACAATCCTGATAGTATTCGAACGAGTAAATTGGTACATACTCTCTTGCATTCCATTACAGCCAAAGCTCCCCCAAAGCCTCTACACCGCCCAACAGTCAACCTACGGTCAACCCTTAAGGCAATACAACAAATTGAATCCGGTGCATCCTCGACACACTTATCCCAAATACAACAAAAGCTCGCGTTTTTGCTGGGTATGACTGCCTTCTTACGACCATCTGATCTCCATCATATTGATTTCACCACTGCCAGTGTTACTGAAGGAAACAATCAACGCTTTCTTTCGTTTAATGTCGTGGCGTCTAAAGAAAAACGTGGTGGTCAACGCATTATCAAACCCTTTCGTGTCTCTTGTTATGCCAACCCAAATTTGTGTCCTATAACCACGCTCGTTCATCTACGTACCCGAGTTTCCCAGCTATCCCCTCCACCTTCAGTTGCTTCTCTATTCGTCAACAGTATTGACACAACACAAATCGTCAGAGTCACTACCATTAGCTCTTGGATACGACGATTTATATAAATGTCGACAAACGAACCTCGAGTAAATTTTCGATCACTTGCTTCTTCCTTAGCCCTCCGTTCTGGTATCCCTGTTGAAGATATTGTCACACTCGGCAACTGGTCCTCCTCAGATGTTTTTCACAACCACTATCGACGAGAACACTTATCATTGATAGACTTTACAAACACTGTATTACAGGATCCAATAGAAGACTAGGATGCTTTTACGATGCCGAACCGAATTTTCATTAGATGCATCTCTGGAGTGTTGAATACGAAGTATCAATTAAAAAGAATAAAGACTAGAATTAACCAGACTAAAAGATATCTCGATTGATTTTATTAAAGACGAGTATTTATACTAAATGTGAGACACTCTTCAACTGAGATCGTAAAACTTTTCATAGAGGCTTATGAATGACAATTGAGGCAATGAGAGAGTTAGGACGAATCGGGTGCCTTTGATAAGACAATGATCCCTAATAACAATGATGGATCAGAGTTATTGGATACGCGTACCTTAAAATACAGTTCCTGGTAATCAGCTTAAATAATGATCCGCACAGTTGTTTCAAAGTAACAAGCTGAAGTCGAATAATTGCCGGTTATTGTTTCATATGTGGTAAATAGTTGATCCACTAAGTATGAATACAACATGGAGAAGCATATATATTATTCTTCCATGTGTTTGTCCGATGGCCTCAGATAATTCTTGAGAGAATACCTTCAGCCTTGAATGGCAATGTTGGCGAAACGAAGACAGAGGATGCAGTGGCTACCCGCCCTTGGTATCGTCGATGGTTTACCTGATCCTATCCTTGCCACCAGGGTTTCAAAAATCAAACTATAGCTTTGAAAGATATAAAGAACAATAGAAACTTTAAAGCCTTTAACCGCATCCTCTGTCTTCATTTCGCCAACATTGCCATTATAGATTGTGCTATCATCTCTTTTCTTTTCACTTAATTCTGAATAAAGATACAACACAGTCTCATCGTATTTTCTACTTTGTTTAAACCTATTCTCAAAACTCAAATACAACACCGTCATCTGTATTCATGTCACGTATTTCATTTGTCATATTTAAATTCTAAAACTATGGTTCGATTTTATTTTTTTTAGGATTTTTTTGTGATCATTCGTGAAAGAAAAAAGGTATAAAGATTAAATAATTCTGAATAACGCATGAGGTAGAGTCTTTTGTCAAGAAAAAAAATTATTTTGCCTTGAAAAGCTCTGGTTACTACATTTACTCTGACCCGCAAAGAAGAATTAGTGTTGTAGAACAGTGTCTGTTTACGACTGACATTGAGATAAACAACTGTAGTCAATATGGATAGAGTGAATTCATACATTATAAGATTACGTGTACACACTTTTAGTGATAAGCCAAATTAAATAGAATCTCTCCTTTGAATATAAACCATAACTTCTTTATATAAAAGGGTATATTGAAAGATGATCCTTCTCACGGTAAAAGCAGTAACATAACCCAGATCATGAAATGAACAATAAGATCAGCGTCAGGAACGAATTAAAAGTTTTCTTTATCAACTCAGGAACCGTTAGTCAATCATATCTGTGATAATATAAAAGTAATAATAGACAATAAGGTACAGTAAGACTGAATTAATTCTTTTATTTGATAAAGGGCAGTTCTTGTTTATACTATTCAAGTTTACTGTGGAATTATAGTTGGCATGGGTCTAACAGTTGTTCTGGAGCAAAGTAGCTTAATTAAGGGTTTCCTGGTTTCACTACTGTGACATCTGAATCAATAAATGATGTTATGTACTAATAAGTGTTATTGTAAGGGTAATTTCCTTAGTTTCAATAAGCGTGAATTATGTTCGGATATGTCAATATCCTCAGTAATTATAATCCACGCTTAGAATAGTGGCTTACCAGCCACTTGATAGCAACTATAAATAGTAGATCCTCTATTTAATTGTATGGTCCTTCTGTCTTTATCTCAGAATAAAGATTAGTCTCAAAGAGTACTTCTTTTGTCTTTGTCTTGTATCATTTAAACCAGTACATAGCAGACCTGACCTCAAAATATGCGGGGTTCAAAGACCAAATTTCCAGTGGCGTAAAATCTTGAGGTTCGAACTCCGGTACTTCTTTAGACTTCTTTACCATGTACTTCTTTAACCTCTAACTGTACAGCCAGTCCCACCAATCAGTTACCACCAAAGAAAGGAAGAACGTATCTCCAGGATCACATGAAATTCACGTGATTTATAAATGTACCACAACTAAATTATATCACTTCTAAAACCACAACAGGTGGTTTGGCCGAGTTGGTCTAAGGCGCCGCACTCAAGTTGCGGTCTCGCAAGAGGCGTGAGTTCGAATCTCACAGCCACCAAATTAACAATATCTTTTGAAAATTTTTGAAACTTGTATTCTTTCTGTCGTACTTTTTATGCCACTGTAGCAAGCCTGGTTATTTTTTTTTCTATTGATACCATTTTTGGTATCTGCTACCAGTACCATTACCACTGCATG